GTCCTGGGGGGCATCATGCCGGCTCTTTGGGAGCTCCGCGGCCCGTCTGGGGAACATGTTGGGGGGCCTCGTGGGGCCTTTCGGGGGCCGCTTGCGGCCATCGGCGAGGCTTTTTGGGGGCCTCTTGGGGCCCCTTTGGGCTCTGTCGGGGCGTCTGGGGCCGTCTCTTCCCCCAGGAGGCCCCCGAAGTGGAAAGGATCTAAACCGTCTCAGCCCAGGGGGCTGGCCGCGAGGAGTCCAGTGCCTGTGGCGCAGCGGTCTACAGCTTTACGAGGGATGCGGTGTCCCGATTGTTTCAAAACGTGGCCGCAGGGATTTCTGGCCCTTTCCCTAGGGCTGGCTTTGTATCTGTTCTGAAGCCAGCCTGATAAGGGCCCACGGAGGCAGAAAGTATGAAACAGTTTCCCGTCATATTTGTGCCACCACGCGAGCATGTGATGGTCAACAACCGCCTGTGGAGGGATTCCTCCCTGGAGGCGCGCGGAGCGCGCCAGTGGCGCGCAGGAGGCGCTGCCAGGGGCCCCAGCGCCGATCCCAGAAATCCGCGCAGAGCTTCGAACGTGTATGTCTGTGCAGTTCCGCTTCCCCCTCATGTTGCAGCTACCCGTCGAGGGATTGAGGCATTTCCTCCCCCACCCTCCCCCTCTGGCCTCCTGGTGCTTTGTCTCTTGAGTACTGGTGAGTCACCGTGCGAGGCTGCTTTGGGTACGAGTTTTTGCGGCCCGCGAGAGCCAGCGCCAGCCTGCGCCCCACCCTGCAGGCGCTCATCTCGGGGTCCTCTCAACCGCCCTTGGAGGGCCACGTCTGCCCTGCCTCTGGCAGACCACGGCTTCTGGGGCCCACGACGCAGCCCGCTTCTCGCGTTCTGGCCACGAGCGTCCGTGGACACGCCCGATGTCGCCCCGTACGTGGACGCATTCGGGGTGCACGCGCCTACAGACCACACGCGGCCGCTGGGTTCGAAGAGTCGATCTGTCTACAGTGCCGTTTTTAAGACATGCTCCGCGTGCGGATCATGTATTAAGCATGCCGGGATTTAGTATTAAAAACAACGATGAGTTCCTGTATACATTCATATAGTCATACATTAATCATGTATCACAAATCGTATATATTAATACATTCCTATGTATAACAAACTTCCCTGTACGGTGTGCTCCTGCCCTAGAGCAGGCCCCACGTAGTACTCCAAAACCGGCCTCCGTGTGCGGGGAGGCTGGTGAAGCTGGTGCTGCTCGGCGACGCCGCCGTGGGCAAGTCCTGCCTGGCGCAGCGGCTCGGCGGTGGCCCGGCGAGCCCCGCGCGCCCTGTCGCGCGGCGACCCCGCGCGCGGTCATCGTCGTCGACGTCGTCGTCGTCGTCGTCGTCGTCGTGGGCATCGTCGTCGTCGTCGTCGTGGTTGTCGTCGTCGTGGTTGTCGTCGTCGGGGTCGTCGGGGCGGTGATCGTCGGCGTCGTCGTCGTTGCTGGGTGGCGCCTGTTTGCAGACCCCCTGGCGTCCAGAAAAAATCATGACAGGAGGCTTTTCGGTAGTTCCGGCTTCGAGAAACGGATCCGGATGAAAAACGGGTCCCCGGCGAGTGGTCCAGTTCTCTTCGGGCGTCCACGCCATGAACATAATCACGACGTCGGGGGTTGGGCGTGAGGGCAAGAGCATGCGGACGAGAGAAGCACGCTGGGGTCGGAGGACCGCGCATGCATCGGCGATGTGGCTCGATGCGGAGCCCGATTTTCTCCACGCCGACGTCGCCGACGAGTCGGTGATGCATCGACGACGCGGCGCGATCCTCCGACCCCGTCTACCGTGACCTTGTCTCAGACCCCGCTAGAGGCTACCCATCCGTCGTTGAAATCAGATAGTTCTGGATTTCCAGATTCCAATCTACTTTGAGCGCCTTCCTACTTCAGTGATCGAGTGGCTTCACCTTTCCCGTCCTCTTCAGGGGGTGGGCGGACACTCAATCTACTTTCAACGCCTTCCTACTTCATGTTTCTGCCTACTTCTTCCGACCGATGGGTAAAGGGGCGATAAGGGGGAGGGGAAGGGGGGGGCCAGACCGCGAGGGGGCCACGCGGTGAAGAGGCACGGCGTCGGAGGCCTGGGCCCGCCGCCTCGTCTGCCGCCACAAGAGGGCCCCAGGCAGAGGGGCGCGGAGACGTTCGCCGCCGCCGCCGCGGCCGTCGTCTTCGTCTTCGTCGTCGTCGTCGTCGCTGTCGTCGTCGTCGCCGTCGCCGTCGTCGTCGTCGTCGACGCCGCCGCCGTCGGCGTCGGCGTCGGCGTCCTTGTTGTCGTCGTGGCCTTTCAGCGTGGCTGGGGTCACCCATCGGTAGCCCATAAGACGGGCAGGAAGGGTGGCGATGGTGCAGCTCGCGAGGAAGGGGGGGTGAGAGGGGGAGTGGGGGGGGAGGGGCAGGGGAAGGGAGGGCAGGGGTGAGGGAGTGGGGGAGGGGGGGGACAAGCTAGGTGCACTAGCGTCACATCTGACGTCCTGTCCCTCCCTCCCATCCGTTACCGTGGCGCAGGTGCCTACCTATTCGCAGAGTCGGACCGGCGCTGCAGCAGGAGCACGATGTAGACGGGCTGGAGCGCGGTAGCGAGGCCAGGACCGAAAACGGGAGTGAGGACACCGCTGCAGCCGGAGCAGGATTTGGAAGGACCGCAGACCTGGAACGAGGCCAGCGCAAATTATAGCGACTGCGATACTTGGAAAGACTGGACACGCCAGTGCTGATGCGAGAACACGATTTGGAACAGCCGGAGGCGCGGGAACGAGGCCAGGGCTGCAGCGGGAGCACGATTTTGAATGACCGAAGCGCGGAAATGAGGGCGCTGAAGCGGGAGCACCGTTTTGGAAGGACCGGAAACGACCGGATTGAAGCAACCCATAGGAAAAACATGAACTCTGGTGTTTAAGAACCAATGCGCGGGAGCACGGGAGACTCCCCGGACAGAGTTTGGGAAGAGAGGAGAGTAGTATTCATATTGTGTAATTGTGGAGGGCGGTGGACGGCGGAGGAGTGGGGAGGGGCAAAGGGGAAGGTGAGAGGGGGGTGGGAGGGAGTAGGGGACGAGTGGGGGATTGGGGGAGAGGGGGGGGGGTAGTGTGGGAGGGAGTCAAGTTAGCCAGCTCGAACGAGCCAGAGGGCTCCGTCCACTCCCACCCGCCCTCCCAGAACATAAGAAGCAAGTGCGTCGCGTCCGACGCCTGTCGCTCATCTTATATCGTGGGCGGCTAGACGTTCAGCGCGCGACATTAGCTGCGTCCTATTCCTGCCGCGTCTCGAGCAACGTCGACGAGAAACAAAACCGCGCGCGATGTACGCCGCGCCCCGCTATGGCCTGTCACGTTGCACCGTCGGCGACAACATGTCAAGCGCGCGAAGTGCGCCGCGTTCCATTCCAGCCACGCGTGTTGCACCGCCAATCGTTTCGCTCCTGCCGCGCATGGAGGAGGGGGAGGTGGAGGAGGAGGACGAGGAGGAGGAGGAGGACGAGGAGGAGGAGGAGGAGGAGGAGGAGGAGGAGGGGAGGGAGAGAGGGAGAGAGGGAGAAACCGAGGCGGAAGAGGATAATGCCTCCTGGGAATTCGCGGGGCGTCCCATTCCCACTACGTGATTCGCAGCGCCGACGAGGAGAAAGCACATGCTGGCAAAAAGAACGTCGACGTTGCTCTGTTTTTTTTGGCAGGTAGGACGGGGGGTCCCGCGTAGGGTTGGCCAGGCGTCCGCGCGCGATGTGCGCCGCGTCCGATCCCGGCTACACTTTTCGCAGCGTCGACGACAAGAAAGTCAATGTTGTCGAAAAAACGTTGATTGTATATGTTTTTTCGATAGGTAGGACGCGACCACCCGCTTAGGGCGACCCGGGCGATGTTACCTGCTACATGTTTCCGCAGCGTTGACGACAAGAGAGGCCACGTTGTCGAGAAAGCGTTGGCGTTGCATTGTTTTTTGATGGGTACGACGCGACCACCCGCTGAGGGTTACCCAAGCGATGTTGATTCCGTCCCATTCTTGCTATACTTTTCGTAGTTCGACGACATGTTGGCGAGAAAAACATTGAGTTTGTATTATTGTTACACTTAGGACGGCGTGGTTGCTATCGGCCGGCTGGGTGGGGTATTGGGGGCGTTTCATCATAAGAAGTAACGAGGGGGTGCGGGAGGGGGAGTGGGGGGCGAGGCAAGCATGCAGCAGTGCCGGAGGAGAAGCAGGGGGCAGCACTGCACACAACCAGTCTCCGCTGTTCGGGCAGGGGCTCTGGTTGCTCCTCGGGCCCTATTCCGCAGGTCTTCCCTCGGCGGCACTCGTTCGGGTCGGACAGAAAGAAGGGAGGATAGGGAAATTGCGGAGGTACGAGAACTGCTGCGTGCAGCTGGTTCGGGCTCCGCCGCCTGGCGCCTTCCTCGATGCCTGCCTGCGGCGGCGGGAGGTGCTGGGGAATCCGGTTGCGCAATCTGACACCTCCCTTTTGCTCCCCCCCCTTTTCGTCCGACCCGATTCTTGCACCTGGGCGCAGTAGAGGACCAGACCAGGTTGTTCCGGCAAACCATGGGAGCTTTTTCTCCGGGAGCCTTGAGACGGGGGTCAATGCAAACGGGGGTCAGCCAGGGCGCCAGATCCTGCATGATCCTGCGGAGACCCCTTCTGGTTGACCCGGGTTTGGGAGCCGCTCGTGGCCGCGAGGCGGCCGCACATATTGGCTGACCCGGGTTTGCGAAGACCTGCGCTGCAGTTTTTTTGCTCCTGCATTGTAGTTTTGGGTTTCCTGCTGACCCGGGACTGGATTGACCCGGGTCAGAAGATTCCCGACCTGTACCATTGTATTTCCGCGTCTCGCAATCGATGAGATAGCGCCGACTGCTTGCGTCGATCAGCGCAGTTTCGGCGTCGATCAGCATCGATCTCGCAATAGCCAACAAGATTGCATGGGAGCCTGCCATGGGTTGCCTCAGAACCTGCAGCGGGGAGCGCCATGACCCGGAGTAGCGGGGCCCGTCGCAAGCGCTGCTCGAGCTTCCCTCCCCCCTTCTGCGCCCGCCACTGACCCGCCCGCACCCGTGTCATGAGCATGTTTACGGGCATCCCGGAGGCGCCCCAGGATCCGCCGGCGAGGAGGAGGAGGAGGAGGGGAAGGAGGAAAAGGAGGAGGAGGAGGAGGAGCAGGAAGAGCAGAAGAGCAGGAGGAGATGGAGGAGGAAGAGGTACGTGAGCCACGCGCAGATGGTAGGGGTAGGGTGAGGGACCAGGGTGTCTTAGGAGCATCCCTGCTGCTGAGAAGCTCCCCTCCCTCCCCCTATGCCCCCTTTGCGCGCGCCGCCTCGGGGAGGCGAGCGTCCAGCGACAGCATAAGAGGATGTATGGCTACGCCGGGGTGTGGCCACGCCGTGGTGTGTGGTTGCACCGAAGTGTGCGTGAGAGAGAGAGTCGGGGGTGGACAGAACCCCCAACAGTGACACGTCGATTCGTGAATTGTCCGTGTTCGGTTCTCGAGGGGGTGCCGTGGCCGTTATTTTCCAGGCTTGCGCCCGGCAGGTCTGGGCCTCGGGTCGTTTTCACTGAACCACGCCCGAGCGATGCCGAGAGACGGGCGGCAGGGCCGCGCGGGGCCAGCGGCGGCCACGGCCATCGGAGGGGGGGGGGGGGGCGCGACGCGGGAGCGGGCAGGCCGGCAGGGGAGCGCCGTCGTCGTCAGCCCTTCGCGGGGAGGAGGAGGAGGAAGGGGGAGGAGGAGGAGGAGGAGGAGGAGGAGGAGGAGGAGGAGGAGGAGGAGGTTTGCTCAAGGGGGGTCTGTCCATCCCCGAGAGAGGGGGGGGCGCACGCGGCGGGCGTCAGCTCTGACAGGAGGTTGAATCGGGCGTGTCCCTCTACAGGAGAAAAATCCAAAACTAGGCCCCAGATGGTCTGGAAACTGTGTTGGGGCTATTTTGGGCAATTCCTGAGTCCGCTTAAATCTATCTTATTTTTGGTCCTGAATCCGTCCGTGTCCCTCTACCGGAGGTCAAATCGGGCGTGTCCCTCTACCGGAGAAAACTCAAGAATAGTCCCCAAATGGTCTGGGAACCATGTTCGGACTATTTTTTGGCAATTCCTGAGTCTGTTTCGATCTATCTTGTTTTTGGTCCTGAAGCCGTCTGTGAGAGGACACGCCCGGCGTACCCCTGGCCGGCCCAGGAGCCACATGGGGCCGACTCCCCGCTCCCCTCCCCCAGCTGGCCCGGGCTTGGGAGCTGCTCTGTGGCCAGCCCAGGTTAGCGACACGGCCCTGGCTGACCTGGGTTAAGAGTTAATGCCGCTGACCCAGATCAGCGCGTCCCCGAGGGAGGCTTTCGGGCGCGTCTGTCGATTGCCGGGCATCGGAGAGTCCTCTCGTGGCCACGGCGGAGTTATTCTCGGAGTTCTGATCGGAACGCACCCTAGATTCTCGCTCTTTGGCAAGCGGGGGCTGGCGAATTTGTTCCTCGGGGCAATTGCACACGCGCCTCAATGTTTCATCACTTTTGCTGCAGGCCCCCGAGTCTGCACAAGATGCCTCCCCGAGTTGCGCAGCAGTTGCAGGACGGGACCATCGCCTACGCCATCGAACGACTCCGCCTGGACAAGCCTGTTGTCAGCTGCAATCCTTCAGTCAGCAGTCTTCGGCGGAACGCCGGTGCGCATGCCTTTTATCGGACAGGCAGGTCGGAGCCCCGCTGGCATTGTCCACAGCTTGTCTGGGTTAAACGCGTCAGCCGGCATATAACGCGAGTCAGAGTCAGCGCAAGAGGGGCTCAGCCAGAGCGCGGGATCTTACAAGATCCAGCATCGTCAGATGTTGATCGAGCCGTGTTTGAACCGCTCGCGGCCTTAGAGAGGTGGCCTTACATATTGGCTCCGTCAGGCTTGGGAAGCCTCCAAAGACGTGCAGCGCAGTGTTTGCCACCTTCGCACAGCGGGGTTTGCGCTCCGCCGAGGTAGTCCACCCAGGAACGCGCCAAGGACAGCACGCTCAATCTGGACGGGCGCGCGCAGCGCCTCGCCGTCTGGCCCGTGGGGCTGCAGCGGCCTTCGTCTCTCACGGGCTTGGACAGGCTGTCCCGATCGGGCCGCCGGGGGTCGCCGTGGAGGCACGGCAGGGGTCCCGAGGGAAGCGGGCCCTCTCGACCCTGGTGCTCTCCCGAGGACCACATCTGCTTGGCATCGCTGGGACGTGTGCATTTTTCCTTCGGCGACGGCCATCGAGGACCATCCTTGATCATTTGGCGAACAAGAAACACGCACGAAGCCGAAACATACACGAGGAATGGACGTCCGAGCGATGGCGAGGTGCTCTCCCGAGGACCACATCTTCATGCTGCGTCGCCCGTTCGTCGGGCTGGGGGCCCGCGGCGGGCACCACAGGGCCCCGAGGGCGGGGCAGCGCACTCCCGGAGAGCCCGCTCCTCGAGAGGGCCCCCCTCCCGAGGAGAGCGCGCCACTGGGCACGGTGCACGGTGTGGGCCTCCATGGGGTGCCGTGCCGCCGCCGCGTGCGGCCGGGCCCCGCCGTGCCCGAGTCTCGGCATCGCTCGGACGTGTGCATCTGTTCCTCGGCGAGGGCCATGGAGGAGCATCCTGGATGACTTCGCGCGAAAAGAGCACGCACGACATGGGAACATGCACGAGGGGTGGACGTCCGAGCGATGGCGAGGAGCGGCTCTGCGCTCGGAGAGGCGTTGAACCGCCGGCGGCAGCGGCCGAGCGGGACGGCGCGAGCCGGCGCCGTCGCGCAGGGCCTCTCGGCCGTGTGCAGGTGCAGGCACGGCCCTGCTCCTGCTCGTCCTGGCACTCGCCCCCTCTCCCCGTCCGCTCTCCTCGCCCCCCTCCTGGAATCCCTCCTCCTTCTTCTCCTCCTCCTCCTCCTCCTCCTCCTCCTCCGTCTTCTTCTTCTCCTCCTCCTCCTCCTCCTTTTGCGCACGGCGAATCTGAGCGACGAGGCTGCTGCGTCTCCCGTCCTTCTCCTGCTTCTCCTCGTTCCGTAGCCATTCTGGCGAACGCTCAAGAGGCAGAGAGCACACGTACATGTCTTTCCACCTCCACTTGTGGGGTGTGTGCGGCCTCCGCGCGCGATCGGACCTTGGTTGCTTGTAACCCTCACGACTTTGGGCGGCCTGAGCCTGATCATACGGTGCAACTGTCGAAGCAGCCGCATCAAGCAGAGGTCTGGAGCCAGACCCCCCCCCGTTTCTCCCCCCCTTCCGCCAATGTCGAAACGCCGAATATGAAAACGGTCACATGGGGGAAGGTAGAGTCGGGGAGGAAAGTGTTCGGAGTTCTCCTCGAGATCGGGGGAAGCGAGCTATGCACAGGCACCGATCTTGGCCAGGCCCATCCCGGGCCCCGGATCGGCGCATACATGCTTTCCTGGCCCAGGCAGGTGGGCGTGTGCACCCCGGTCCTTGGCTCAGGCTGGGCCTGGCCAGAGTGCCCATCGGTCGCTGAAAATAGGTATTCTTGGATTCCCAGATTCCGATCTACTTTAAGCGCCTTCCTACTTCAATGATCGAGTGGCTTCACCCCTTCCGTCCTCCTCAGGGGGCGGGTGGACACCTAATCTACTTTCAACGCATTCCTACTTGATGTTTCTGCCTACTTCTTCCGACCGATGTGCATTCTTTCTTCTATGAGGGTGCTATAAAGGTTCCACGGGAAGCAGGCAGAGCTACGCCAGTTTCCTCCCCGCGTAGCCGCCGGTCAGGGAGCGCCGCAGCGATCAGCTGGAACTCGCAGCGTGTCCCGCAAGCGCCTGCGTGCGTATTCCCAATACGTGTGCCGCCCACGTTTGCGCGGCTCTTTCGCAGCGTCTCCTGCCTTCGCGCGCAAGTCCGTCCAGGGCGGCGGTTCCGCAGGCCCCGTGGGTCGCAAACGAACAAGGTGAGGGAGGGGCAAACAAAGGAGAGTCGGGTAGACACCTTCCGCATGGCTCGAGGAAGGCTATTCAGACCCTGGAGGGTTCCTTATTTGATGGGGGCGGCGGTGATTTCCACTGCCAATCCGCGATTGGAGTTCCACTGGCTTCCAGACCCTGGACTCCTTATCCAATGCTTCCTTATCCAATGCCCCCACCGTATGGGCTTCAGAGAGGAAGCGGGCAGGCTGGGTTAGGCCAATCTCCTCCCCACGGGCTGCCGGTGAGGCAGCGTTGCAGCGGCTTTCCTTGGGCTGGTAGCTTGGCCCGCCAGCGGACCCTAACCGTTTGCGAAATTTCTGCGCAGCGTGTCGGCCGCACTCGAGCGCGCTCAGTCTCTCTCTCTCTCACTCTCCCGCGCACTCTCTCTCTCTCTCTCTTTCTCGTCGTCCGGAAGGATCCGATCTTGGGGACGACCACCCTCTTCAACGCGGACACGGACCCGCGGAAGATCAACCTCGGAGGAAGCCGCCCTTTCGCGCGGCCAGCGCAGCCTGCCCGTGGCGGCGCACGGCTGCTGCTGCTGCTGCTCCTCTGCCTCCCCCTTCCTCCTCCGTCCTTCCTTCCTTCTTCTCCTGCCCCTCCCTTTCCTCCTCGTCATCATCCTCTCTGCCCTGCTCCCCCTTCCCTTCCCTCCTTCCCTCCCCCTCCTGCCCACCTATCTGCCCCCCCGTTGAGGTTTTTTACCCCCCCTGTCTCTCTCTGCCTCCTGCCCATCCTCCCTCCTCCTCCTCCTTCTCCTCTCCCCCCTCCTCCTTTTCCTCCTCCTCTTTCTCCTCCTCCTCCTCCTCCTTCTCCTCCTCCTCCTCCTCTTTCCCCTCCTCCTTCTGCCTCCCTTTTCCCCTCCTTCTCCTCCTCCTCCTCCTCCTCCTCCTCCTCCTCCCCGATCCTTCTCTCTTGTCTTCTTCCTGCCACCACCTAACCGCTAAAGGTCTTTACAACGGGTCCCCCTCTTTTTTCTCGGTGGTTGCTAGGACTGGTCCTAAAAACTCATCATCCTTCGTAGTCGCAATCGTAGTCGTAGCTTTCGTCGTCGTCGTTGTTGCGCGGCGGGTGCCGCGGGAGAATAATTGGTAACCCCCTGTTGGTGTGTCCCCAATCCTTCAGTTAGTTACCCCCTGCCGGGGTGGGGGTCTAAAGACCTAGCTTATCGCTCTTTCTCTCTCTCTCTCTCGCTCTGGGGCGGCCCCGGCCGGGGGCAGAAAACGTCACGCCGCCCTGAGTCGGCGCCTACCGCACGGAGGACGGGAAGCCCTTCGTGCTGGAGGTGGTCCGGGAGGCCGAGGCGCAGAGGGGCTGGCCACACCGATGTTCCTCCTCCTCCTCCTCCTCCTCCTCCTCCTCCTCCCTCCTCTTCCCAGATCCTCCTCCTCCTCCTCCTCCTCCTCCCTCCTCCTGTTCCTAAATCCTCCTCCTCCTCCTCCTCCTCCTCCTCCTCCTTCCTCCTCCTCCTCCTCCTCCTCCTCCTCTTCCTCAATCTCCTCCTCGCCGATGCCCTGCCCTCGCTTCTGCCTCGTGCGGGGCCGCCCGGGGAGGCTCCCTCGTCGCCGCGGCCGGGCATCCTGCGCCCCGCCGTCCCGGCCGGAGCCCGCCCTATACGGGAGGGGTGCGGGGAGTGCCGGCAGGGGCAGCGCGGTGCCCCCCCCCCGGAGGCGCAGATGCTGAAGGACCTGGGCACGAAGTGCAACAAGGCCCCGCGCATCCTCCCTCGGCGCCCGTGCTCGCCCCGCCCGTGCTCGCCCCGCTCGCCCCGCCTCGAGACATGCCCGCCCTGCCCGCCCCGCCCCCTCCCCCTCGTCTCCCTCCTCCTCCCTCCTCCTCCTCCTCCTCCTCCTCCTCTCTCCCTCCTACCTCCTCCTCCCTCCTCCTCCTCCTACCTTTCCTTGTCTTCATTCCCCCAATCTCCATCCTCTTCCTCCTCCTCCTCCTTCCACCCTCCCCTCCTTCTACCCTCCTCCTCCTCCTCCTCCTCCTCCTCCTCCTCCTCTTCCTCCTCCTCCTCCTCTCCCTCATTGCTGATTCTGCTGGCCCTCGGGATCCTGACCCTATCCTTGCACTCGGTGAGACAAAAGCAATTATCAAGGCGGCTGCGAACGTGTTATTGAATTCTCGCGTTCTGGTGGACCTCTGTCTGTTGAAGAGAAGGTGCATTGGGCTCTCGCGGCGCTACGTAGCCTTCGGCGCGGGCAACTCCTTTTTCTTCGGAAAGCTCTGGGAGTTTTTACGGACCTGCAGCAGTTTATTTGTTGGGAATTTGGACTTTGGATTGACTTTCATGGATTTCACGGATTTTTAAGCGAACTCAAGGCTGAGCAGATCCAGGGGCAGATTCAGGAGAATGAGGAATCCGACAGGCCAATGGTTCAGAAGCATGCGGTTCGAAACCGACTCACGTCGTATCTCTGTGCCTGGGGCCGAAGGAGGAGAATGATCCCCCTCTCTGCTATTTCCGACCCGACGGGTCTCCAGGTTTCTGAACCTAGTGCTGCGGCTAAGTTGCTGGCGGCGCACTGGGGGCAGGTGCATGCCTTCGTCGAAGGTGAAGATGCCTGACGGCAAGAACTCGTACCCTTCATCGCGCAGGTGCCTCCTCTCATGTTCTGGGAGCTTGAGTTCGATGAGTTTTGTCAGCATGCTCAATATGCTCGAGACTCGTGTCCTGGGCCCGACGGGATTGCGTACAGTGCCTGGTTTCGGGGCGGTACCTGCACGATGGAACCTCTCTTTGAAGTGTACCAGGAACTTCTCGCTTGTGGGCGGCTTCCTGATGAGTTTAATCATGGCATCGCTGTCTTCCTGCCCAAGGGTGATGCCCCTAGCGATGCTGTGGATGCTTTCTTCCGTCCACCCAGGCCTATTACGCTTGGCAATTCGGATAACAAGTGGATCAGCCGTGCTATTAGTAAGCCTGTCGTGCGTGTTCTCCAGGAGTGTTCAACGTAGTTTTATCCCTGGGCGCAATTTTACCAACAACATTGTTGCTCTGGAATCTCGGGCCGTGGAATGGTTTGTTCAAGACGGACTTCAGGCGACGGGTTACGTTACGTTTGATATCAAGGCTGCCTTTCCTACCCTCCCCACTCTATGATTATGTTCGTCCTCAAAACCATGAGGTTCCCGAAGAAAATCCGCAGGGCGGTTGCCGCTCTTTATCAGCAGGTGTGGGTTTCTGTCTCCTTCTGTGGGGTGCAAGACTCTGGATGGTGGGTCAAGCGTGGGATCAAGCAAGGGTGCCCGCTCTCCTCCTCGCTCTTCGTACTGTGCATCGATCCGATCTTAAGGATGCTTGAGCAGCGCCTTCAACGCGTGCCATCGGTGCTGGGTGCCTGTGCTGACGATGTTGGGCTTGTCTCACGGGACGTGCATCGAGCTCTGGCCTTGGCACTTCCTGTATTTGATTGTGCTGCCCAGGCTGCTGGACTCGAGCTCAACGTCGCGGAATCTATCATCGTCCCTCTCGCCGCCCTCCCTGAACATGAATATCGCAACCTCCTTGTTGTTGCTGGTTTACCCCCTCCTTCAAGGTGCAGCATATGGCAAAATACTTGGGTATCTTTCTTGGGCGTGGTGGGTCTATTCGGTCTTGGGACGCTCCTGCCAGGAAATGTCTTGGGCAAGCTCTTGACACTAAATCTCTTGGGTTGGGTCTGGTGAAGAGTATATCACTGTTCAATCAGAATGGTTTTAGCTGCTTGTCGTACGTGTTGCAATTCTTCTCACCTCCCAAGTCTGTGTACGAGGCTGTCCGCGCAGCCGGGCAAGCGTTGGCGTGCGGCCCGCGGAATGCTGTTAGTCCCGCCGTGCTCGAGAATTTAACGGCGCTGGGGTTGCCGTGCCAAATGAGAAGGCTGGATCTGGTTTCGAGGGCCACTCTTTACCGTTTCGCCTGCAATTCGATCGAGTTTTACCGTGCGAAGACGCGGATCCAGGCAATGGCCGCCAGCGACGAGTGCAAAATATTGTGGGACAGGGATCCCCTGTGGTTACAGTTGTCCATGTACGCCCTTACTGCTAACTATGATCAGTTGTGCGCCGTGCCGAAAGTACCTGTCCCTGGAACTCCTCGGACCCAAGCGGCTACGACGAAATGGCTATACCATTTTGCCCCCGAAGGATGTCGGGTCCCGCTCCTGTATCGGATGAAGAAGCTGGGGGTATCCGCGAGGTGTTGTGCTCTTGACCTAGCCCTGATGGCGCTTAGAAGGTTAGAAAAGCTTGTTCCCTCTTGCGTTATCGTTTCTGTTTTGAAAACGTTCTCGAACGGCTGGTGCTGTTCTGCCAGGTTCCGTGGGCCCACCTGTGGCTGCGTTTTCTGTTCGGCGCCTGGGGCCGACATGTTTCTTCACTATCTTGAGTGCACTGTTGTTTTGTCTAGTGCCAGTGCCGTCCTGCATCTTCCCGCTTTCTTTTCCTCGCTCTCGGGGCCGCAGCGCGCTTCCATCTTCCCCTGGGCCGCCTCCTCTCAGCTAGAACTTTCTGCCTGTGCGATTTTCCTTGATCTCATCTTTCAGGCCTATCATGATTTGCGGTACGCATCCAACCTGTCGCCTCCGAGGGGGGCTCTGCGGCTTCAAGTCAGGACGCGTGCTCGTTTGAAGCAGCTCAAGAGGCGGGATCATCGCCGGAGCCTGCTTCTTGGGTAGCTCTGATTCTCTCTCGGGAGGACGTGGGGAGTTTGCCAGCTATTGAATTAGGGTCGGGTCGGCCTAATTCTTTGCCTTCCTTGGCCTCGTGCACTCCTCCTCTCCCTCCTGCTGCTCCTCTTCCTGCTGCTGCTGCTCCTGCTCCTCCTTTTGTCCTCCTCCTCTTCTTCCTCGCCCTCCCCCTCCGCCTCCTCGTGCTCCTCCTCGTCCTCCTCCGTTCTCCTTTCCTTCCTCCCTCCCTCCTTCTTTTCCTCCCTGCTCATCCTTCCTCTTCCTCCATGCCTGTTTCTTATGAATAACTCCTCCCCGACCCGCCCCGATACGTGTGGGCTGGGTGGGCCGGGCTTTTCGTCTGAGACTTCATAGGTACTTTATTATCTTGAAGGCTACACGTCACAGCAGCTTCACGCATGGAGGACGGACCGTTTTTACAATGTGGCTCTCGCGTTAGCGCCGCGCGCATTTGTCGTAGAAGGTAGCAGTAGCTTCACGGAGGGATGGCGGACGGTTTTCAACCAGAGGGTCCCGCCTTGAGTTGGTTAATCGGGACGGATGGAAGCACGCGGTCGCGCAGCCGTTTTGGCAACGTCCGAAATGGGGTGGCAGTACCCTGGGGCCAGGACACAAGGACCACAAGTAGCTTCGCGCAATTAAGCTTAGCAATAACCCATTGCCAGATGCGCCTCGGTGTTTCCTGTGGGAAGCGTGTCCGGCGCAGGTTGCTGCATCTACGATTCGACGCCAGTGTTGCGCAGGCTAGAGCTGTATCTCGATGGACATCATTGATCTTCGCAAGTGCACTAATTTGTATATCAAGCTCGCGTGCGTTTTGACAGTGTTCAGGTGGTGGTGCTGCTGCTGCCATGGATGCTGCTGATGCTGATTCCGATGCTCGTGCCGTTGATGGTGTTGCTGCTGTTGATGGTGCTGGTGCTGCTGCTGGCGCTGCTGCTTGTGGTGCTCCTGTTTGTGGTGGTGGTGCTGCTGGGGCCATCTTGGGGGTATGTAGAAAAAACGGAGGAGGATGAACCAATCATTGTCGCTGTGCGGGTCCCGCAAGCGTCCACGCTCAACTCTCGGGATTGGTGACGTCGCTGCGGCGTTGCCTGACTTCTAAAATCATAAGGTGTGCGCGTGCTTACGCCTCTCAGCAGACTCCCAGGCCAATGCCATCTCAATGCCATCTTGGCGCCATCTGGAGCTCTGTTCGGTTCTCTTGGGGCATGCCCGAGGTCCTCTTGGGGCGCTGGGAGCACTCAATTGCCCAACCGCCTTGGGAACACGAGGTTTCGCAACCACCTTGAGAGCGTGTTGGAAGGGGCGCAGAAGCTGCTCATAGACACAGCAGTGCGCACAGGCATGGCTGTTTTCAAAACGGGGGGTCCGCACCCTGGGCCAGAAAAAACAATGATCACACATAGCCCCCACTAAAGTTTATGATGGAAATTCGTGCAAGATGCGCCGTGAGGTTCCCTGTAGCAGACGTTTGTGGCGTCTTATCACGGCGGCTTGATTGGCAACGCCAGTGGTTTGAGAGATATCTTGTAGCGAAGGGTGTCGGTGGTGCTGTAGCTGATGGTCTCGTTGGTGTTGTCGTTGTATTTTGTGTTTCTGGTACCGTTGCTGCTGGTGTTGATGTTGGTGCTACTATTGGTGCTGCTGGTGCTGGTGATGCATGGGACCTTGTTGGGGGTAAAGAAGAGGAGGAGGACGAGGAGGACGAAGAGGAGGGAAAGGATGATTATGATGATGATGATGATGATGATGATGATGATGATGATGATGATGATGATGATGATGATGATGATGATGATGATGATGATGACGATGATGATGATGATGATGATGATGCTGATGCTGATGCTGATGTTGATGCTGATGCTGATGCTGCGGATGCGGATGCGGATGCTGATGTTGATATTGATGCTGCTGATGATGATGATGATGATGATGATAATGCTGATGATGATGATGATGATGATGATGATGGTGATGATGATGATGATGATGATGATGGTGGTGGTGGTGGTGGTGGTGATGATCATGATGATGATGAGGAGGAGGAGGAGGAGGAGGAGGAGAAGACGAAGGATGATGAGGAGGAGGAGGATGAGGAGGAGGAGGAGAAACACGCAAGGAGGACGGGAAGGAGGAGGAGGAGGAGGAGCAGGAAGAACGCGGCGCGAGGAGGATGAAGAGGAGCAGGGAGGCGGCAGGAAAGAAACAAGGAAGGAACGGACGATGATTTTGAGGACGAGAAGTCGGGGTGTTGGGATGTGTCGTGTTGAGGGGTTCTTCGCAGACATAATGCCATTTGGGAGCCATCTTGGGGCCCTCTTGGGGTCCTCTTGGGGCCTTATTGGGGCCCTCGTGGGATTCTCTTGGGGGGCCTTGGAGCCTTCTTGGGCCTCTTTTAGGCGGTCTGGGGGGCCTCTTGGGGCCGTCTTGGGCCCCATGCTTCAAAAAGAGGGGGGGTCTTAATTCCCGGCACCCCCTGGGAGGCTCAAACATACTGTCTTGGGGCCCTCTTGGCCCGCTTTTAGAGCGCTCTTGGGCGCTCTTGGGGCCGTCTTGGGAGCCTCTTGGGCCCCTCTTGGGGCGATTTTAGGCCGTCTTAGGGCCATCTTGAGGCCTCAAGAGCCCATTGGAGGCGGACAGCGAGAAGGCAAGAACCATGGATTGCCCTTCGATTGTTTTAGGGATGTTGGCCTCTTGGGGGGGTCCTTGGAGGGCTCGGATGGCACTTGAAACCGTCTTGGGTCCGACTTGAGACCTCTTGAATGCGTATCGGAGGCTATCTTGCGCCATCTTGAGGTATATTGGGCGATCTTGGAGGCCAGCTTGGGCTATCTAAAGCCATCTTGGAGCTATCTTGGGCCAAAAAGGTCGCTCGGACACATCGCGGGGGAGCCCGTCCAGACCCTGGGAGGGGAGGGGGTGAGGTAAACCTCCCGAGCAGGGAAAGGAAGGAAGTTGGACAAGGAAACGCGCTAGACCACCTGCGCCCAGAGGGCTAGTGGTATTCTGAAGCCTGGCTGTGTTTGTTGTGAAATCTGACCTGCACGGGCGGGTCTAACATGTTGTTGCTTACAGGTCCAGCGCTCCGCGATATCCTCGCTACACCATCCTCGAACTTATCCCTACACTCCAGGCGATGCTTCAGAAAACCAAAGTTTCGGCCAGAGTCTCGATTATTCTTAATGTTTCAATGTAAGTCCTAACATTTGAATAGACATTCTGGGTTTGATTTCAAATTCTGAGACTATGAATTTCTTAACCCATGATTTCTTAAGCATTTCGCAAGGTGTACTCCTAAGATTGACAAGCCGAAAGGCGATGACAATCTTAGGGATGCACCCTCAGAAACCGAGAGAATCCCTAATCTCGGCATCGTGATGAGGCGATGCCCAACATAGGGATAGGGATATGTTCCAGGCTGGTAATCGCCGGGCACGCCTCCACATCCGCGGTGAGGGTGGCTCCCAGGCGTGGACTGCCACACGCTGTGCTCGTCCCTGCGCCGCGCCCGCTCAGCAGCGGCGACTGGAGCGAGGGCCGCTGCAGCCTTGAAGTGGGGGCAGTTCTTAGCGCCCGGCGTCGGCCGCGCCAGTTCGCGTGGCTCCGTCCCTGCCGTCGCCCGCCGCCGCCACCGACCTTGCCGTACACTGCCGCTGGTCATCTCCGCGTTGACCGCGGCTGTTTGGGCCGCGAGGTGAAATAGATGCGCGCGCCCTCCCCTTCTCCAGGGTCGGGCACACACAGATTTGCCGCAGTTCCCGCCTAACGGATATCACTGTTGTACCATAACGTTCAAGGCGTTGAGGGTAGGGCCATCGGAGAACAAAACCATGGACCAACCATTCCGTCAGAATCCCCGAGCCTTCTGGCAAATACTGGTTCTCAGCTGGATGTCCGGGATCTGTTCATACTAACAACTAGGCATCTCAGGCGCACCGCGCTACACAACCCTTGTTGCTCACCGAAGCGCCTTCGACGTCCGTGCCGAATCCGGTCTCCACAGTCCGAGAGGGAAGACCGGCGTGGAATATATGTAACCGAGAGCTATCCGCACTCATCGATTCAGATATTAGCTCGTTGAGTTCATCACTGCATGCAGAGTCACGCCATGCAGCGAGCAGGCTGCCTCCGAACTGGTGGCTTCTTAGCTGCAGCACGTGGCTTCTTAGCGTGCCGATATGCAGGGGGGGGTCAACCATCCTGCAGATGTCCCGTCCACATCCATCTGGGAGTGCTGAACTTCTGAGAATCTCTCAGTCGCTGTTGACGCATTGAGTCTTCGGGAGCCAACTATCATCGGTCACCCGAGGGATCCAACTGTGGATGCGCTGTTTCTTGAAATGGCAGAAAAGGGCGATCCGCCAATAGTATGGAAGTGGACGACTCGCCAGTGCAGACTCCCTGATTCACCAGGGGCCATGCAACGGTGTCTCACTAGCCTTTCGCTCGGGAGGTAGAATGGGCTGATGAGAAGCGGTTTACCCTATCACGTTCAAAGTGCGGAAGGAGGGAGCAGACATGGATCTTCCCAATCCCCGACATGCTCCCCCCTCCCCCCTCGAGCCGTTCCCCCCGTTTCCGGTCCTACTCAGAGGAGGGGGCAGAGCAAAAGGTCGGGGGCACCCATATGGGTCAAAGATGCTGTCGCTTCGCGTTTTGCGGTGTGGGCTGGGGGGGCTATTCTCACAGGGGCGCGCGAGAACGCGAACATATTCGCGCTGCGTGGAGAGCGGATTCAGGTGACTTGGGAAGGAGGTGGAGTATGGAAAGGAGGGGGAGCGTGAGGAGGAGAAAGAGGGAGCAAGAGAGAGAGAGAGAGATTTGAACGTGGGTGAGGAAAAGGAGGAGGAGGGGGAGGAGGAGGAGGAGGAGGAGGAGGAGGAGGAGGAGGAGGAGGAGGAGGAGGATTATATGCAGCCTCCGAGTGACCGCGCCTGCAGAGGGCGAGTGACACGAAGCGCTGCCGGCGCTGGGACGCGACCGAACCACTCGACGGGGCCCAGCGCCAGCGCCACTCGGAGGACACGAGCCCGCACAGGGCGGGAGTGACTGGGGTGCGCGAAAGACGGCCGCCAGCAGCCGCCAACGCCACGGGACGAGCCCGTCAGCCCCGCGGGACGAGCCCGCGAGCCCGGTATTTGCTATTCTGCCCCGGAGTCCATGCGGCGGCACCACACCGACCGCACGGCACAGCACGACGCCGAGCACCAGGATTTTTCCCGACCTGCGTCCCGCCGAGGCGACGAAACGGGCAGTGCGACCGCGAAGTTGTGAAGCCACCGCCCCTCACGGAGCCAAGCGGAAACCACACATCGAACCCCCGAGAGCCTGCTGAATCCTCCCGGCCTCAAGCCCAAGTGGTTGAAGGGTCATGAGGAGGAGGAGGAGGAGGAGGAGGAGGAGGAGGAGGAGGAGGAGGAGGAGGAGGAGGGGACGGGGGACTGGGAGGGGGGGGAGGGGGAGGGGGAGGGGGAGGGGAGGGGAGAGGCGGGGCGCGGCGGGGAGGGGAGGGAGGGGAGGGGAGGGGAGGGAGGGGGAGGAGGAGGAGATGGAGGAGGAGGAGGAGGAGGAGGAGGAGGAGGAGGAGGAGGAGGAGGGAGGAGGAGGAGGGGGAGGGGAGGAGGAGGGGGAGGAGGAGGAGGAGGAGGAGGAGGAGGAGGAGGAGGAGGAGGAGGAGGGGAGGGGGGAGGAGGAGGAGGAGGAGGGGGGGGGAGGGGGAGGGGGAGGGGGAGGGGGAGGGGGAGGGGGAGGGGGAGGGGAGGGAGGAGGAGGAGGAGGGGGAGTTCCTCTGGTGGCGATGAGTATCGGGTGAGGTTGTTTCCAGAGTGCTGCTTGTTGTCTGGCTTCGGAGGAGTATTCCACCATCGACGGTCCACCAGAACTGAAGAAGCAGACGCAGGGGCTCCTGTTCGGTAAGGACAACGAGGCGGTCACCTCAGGACTCGATGCCCGCTGCAGTCGATGCCGAACGGGTGCTGGATGCTCATTTGCTTGGTCACCGTTCCTGCGTCCTCATTCATACTAGGCCTCGCACCATGCCCCTTCCCGCTTCCCTTGTTCAAGACACGTGCGGTGCTTCCTATCCTTGATAAATAAGATCTTCTCTTCTCCGACGTGTTGCACAGTCTGTCGTTGGCACTAGTAGACTCTTTACGCCTTCCCGGGAGCATTCGGACACCATTCGGGCAGTTGTTTTGAGCGGGTAGGGCTTTTGGCTTTCACGGTGCGATCTCAGGGGCCACCATGGGACAGTTTGGGGCAATCGAGGAACTATCGAGTGGCTTTGAGGGCCCATCTTAGGGTCATCTCGGAGGTTTCTCAGGAGCAGGCAGCCTGGATGGAAACCCACTAGGGACTCCAATGGTTTGTCCTGTAGGGAGCCTCGTGGGGCAAGGCATTTGGCGCCTTCTGGGCCGTCTTGGGGGGCATCTTGAGGCCTTGAGGCCCTCTAAGGTCCTCTTGGGCCGTCCTGGGCCCCAGTGGCCCTCTCGGGCCCCTCCTGAAGGCCCCCCAGGCCGCCTCGTGGCTTTCTGGTGGCGTTCCAGCTAGAATTCTGAAGTGGCCTGCAGCTGACGGTGGCACGAAGCACTACCTCCTGGCCATGTTTTTGGCTTGATGCTCTCGAGCTTCCTGCCAGTTCGTGGGCAGTGGACCGGCCGAGACGCCAGGAAGGGCACAGGAGGCAGGACAGGAGCTGAGGCCCGAGTCACGGTCAGGAGAGCAGCAGCAGGGGCAGCAAGAGAGCCGCCTTGTTCCCTATGGGCCTTTGTCCAGTGACCCCACTGCAACATAATCGCACTCGATCCATCCGTCCTGGGTTCTATGCCCTGCTCTTCACCACCCACCAAACCACCCCAACTCAACCCGAAGGCCCCGATTTGCCCTCCATTTCCAGTGGGGGGGGGGGTCGAGGAACATAGAAAAACACATATGAAGCCCGTACCCCCCCACCAACCCGAAATTCGGGTCTTCGGGTTGGGTTGGGGTGGTCTGGTAGGTAGTCAGCTCTGCAGGCTTCTCTCGTTCGTTTGTCCCTTCGCTTACGGCGTAGGCATACACAGTTGGTCGGTTCTACTTCTATCGCAGAGGTCTGCACTTCGCACCCCATCTGGCACAGATCCGTCTGGATCTCGCAACGTTTAATTCCAATGATGCCTGATCACGTCCTTCTGAGGCCGTTCATTGCTGACGAGGTGCCTCCTTCGTCATCACGCCTTCGCCACCATTATCGCCATCATTCGCTACCTTCAGGGTTCATGGGCGTCGATTATTGAATCGCTTCGCTCATTCCGCTGGCCCATATTGCCTCGCCGCTGTCGTTTGTCAGGGTGTTGTCGTCAATGCGGTGCGGTTGGGCGGCTGCCATTTTTCAGATGCGACGGGTGGTGGGTCAGAGGCCTCATGGATGTCGGTTGGGCCCTCATGGTTGTCCTCTCAAGGGCCTCTGGTCAGCAGTTTTGAGGCATCTTAGGGGCCGTGTCTTGGGGTCTCTTGGGGACTCTTGGGGGGCTCGTGGGGCTTCTTGGGGTGCCTCTTGGGGGCACCTTGGTGCCTCTTGGCGGCCTCTTGGGGCCTCCTGGGGGCCTCTTGGGGCTGAAGGCTGGACTTTTCGGTTCCTGGTCCCCTTCGTGGGCTTCTCTTGGGGCCGTTTTGGGGCCCCCTTGGGCCGTCTTGGGCGCCTCTTGGGCTGTCTTGGGGCCATCTTGTGCCGTCTTGGGGCCCTTTTGGAGGCTTCGTGGACCGTCTTGGGGCGGTCTTGGAAGCCTCTTGGGCCGTCTTGGAGCGCTCGTAAGCCGAAAAGGCGAGAACGCCAAATACCTTGCAAAAACAAATGGCAAATCGATAATTTCTGCCTTTGTGGGCCCTCTTGGGAGGTCTCTTGGAGGCCTCTTGGGGCGTCTTGAAGGCGCTTTGGGCTGTCTTGAGGCCATCTTTGGCGTCTTGGATCGCTCTTTGGCCGTCTCGGGCCATGTTGAGCTCTCTTGGAGGCCACTTGAAGCGCTCCCGGGACGCTCTTAGGAGCCTGCTGGGACCTGGCCGGGACTTGCCAGGGACTTGCCCGGGACCTTGCCGGGACTTTGCCGGGACATGCTGGGGTACTTTTCGTCCGGAGACCCCCAAGGGCGGCTTCGCGCGCGCGAACTAGAATATTGTTAACCAGTCACCAGAACTCTTAGCGCGCCCATGGCCCGTTGGGCCGGTTGGTTACCTTCAGAGTTCATGGGCGTCGATTCTTATGGAGCGCTTGGCAATCGTCGCAGTTTGGCGAATGGGTTATCTGTGCCATCTATACCTCACGACTGTAATTACTGATGGTCATTTGGTTGGTCGTATTGGCTGTGAACGTTTCATGTACGGATGTGATTTATATGGTAGAGGGACAAAAGCGGCTGGCGTTATTGTGATACACACCCTTTTGTCTCTTGGCGCGTCGATGGTGTAAGCACAGTCGATGCAAGCCCTGAACGACATTACACCGAGAGTCCTCGCACCTTTTTACGTCTTCACAGGGATGGGGATCATATTGGCAGTTATCACCGACGTCCTCCGCGTTAAGCGTCATGATGCGGGCTTTATCCTGGCTTGCAAATGCTACCACGTAGTGCAACATACATTCGCGGCCACAACGAAGGCGTGCGTCTGAGGACACCAGTATCAAACGGTTCCAGCCAAGCCCTACGTCACTAGAGGCCAGCTTTTGTTTTTGAGTGAGGTGGTCTGCGAGAGGAGTGTATGCCGGTATGTGCCCTTCCTGCGCAGGACGCATCGCTTCCGTTCAGGCATTATCGGGGACTGGTGCTCTCCGTGTCGCTACGGAGTTCATCAAGACGCACATCGCGAAAGGAGGGGACAAGGACGTTGCTCGCTGCAACTCTGCTTTGGTGACGGCAGAGGAGTGGGAGGGAGCAATGGCAGGACTACGCTTCGCGAGTCCCCATCAGCCCATTCAGGAGCCCTGCCCATGAGAGCTGACAGGAAAAGGGACGAAGAGACACACATAGTGAAAGAAAGCGGGCAACCAGGATGAACAATGAGAGATCTCAGGGAGCAAGGGGGTGGCCTTGGAGGGCCTCTTCGGGCAATCCCCATGGCCCACAGCTCTTTTGAGGCTTCTTGGGGCCCTTCTGGGGCTCCTGGTGGGGTCTTGGGGTCCTCTTTGGGCTGGGGCTCTTTTGAGGCGCCTTAGGGCCCTCATGAGGCCCTCTTGAGGCTCTCTTGGGGCTCTCTTGGGCTCCTCTTGGGAGCTATGGAGCGCCTCCAGGTGCCATCTTGGAGACCATCGATCAAAGGAGGGGGGGTCCCTCGGCTTGCCTCCCTCCTCGGGGGCCATCGTAATAGCCTCTTGGGGCGCTCTTGGGGCCCTCTTGGGGTGATCTTTGGCGTCTTTAGGACAGTCGTGGGAGCGTTTTGGGCCATCTTCGGACCATCTTGAAGCCTCAAGAGCGCATCGGAAGCGAAAAGGCGAGACGGCAACCATTTGTGATTCTCCCAATGTTTTTGAAGGATGTTGGCTTCTCGGGGAGGTCCTGAGGGGACGCCAAACGCACCTGGAACCGTTTTGTGGCCCTCTTGGGGCCTCTTGGAGGCTTGTGGTTAGCTATCTTGAGCCATGTTGAGCTATCTTGAGCGATCTTGGAGGCTATCTTGGACTCCCTGGGACCCTTTTGGAGCCATCTTTGGCGAAACAGGACCCTCTGGAATCTCGCCAATCCTCCCGTCCAGGGCCAGGGGAGGGGGGAGGGGGAGGGGTAAACCCTTCCCCGCAGGGGAAGAAGGGTTTTTGGAAGAGGGAAGGACGCCATCGTTATACATCCTGCGTCCAGAGGGCTGCTGGGATTCGGTGGAGGTTGACGCGAATGATGATGTTGACAAAGGTAAGGGATACTATAAACGCACGAGTAATGCGAGAACGGCACAGACTAGCACGAGGCGGGGACAGAGATCGATGATGGCCGTGATTTCGCTCAGCTGCCTGCATCAAGTCTCCCCACGGTGCCAGCGCAGCACTCTGTGTGGCGACGCCCAAAAGAACATAACACGTGGCACTTCTCGGTTCTATTCCTTGTGGGCCTGTCTTGACGCCTACCTGGACTTCCTTGGGGCTGCCTTGCTCTCATGAGGGGCCCTGTCGGGCCGTGTTGGAGCCCTCTCGATCCGTCAGGGGCCCTTTTGGTTGGGCCTTTTTGGGTCCCTCTCGGCAGTCTTTGTGGTCTTGGAGCTGTCTTGGGGGCTTCTCGTGGACCCCAGGACCAGCATGTGGCGTTGTCGTGCCCGTGTTGTGCTCTTTTGGCATCGCGTCGTTTTCTCGAAGGTTGCTTTAGACTCATCTTGAGCTGAGAGGGCTGGGAACCACAACAGCTTCAAATACAGCGAGATTCCCATACGCTTTTTGGCTAACGTCGGCCCTCCGGGTAGGTCTCTTTGGCTTCTCTTTAGAGCGTGTTTGTGTGTGTGTGTGTGGTTGTGTGTGAAGTTTATTGGTGCATTTTGGGCGCCTCATGGGGCCCTGGGGGGTGTTCGGTGACTCTTAAGACAATGCTACGGTGGAGACCCATGCCAAGAAACGCCCTGCTTGCCTTCAGGATGCCCTGGGTTTCTTGGGTTTCGATGGTTTTGCGGAGGAAGGCGCGCAATTCACACCAAACATCAATGGGCGTCCTGGGGTCTCAGGGTGGGTTTCTTGTTGAAGGTTTCTTGTGGACTAGCCTCCACTGTATGCCATCTTTACGGCCTTCCTCCTGGGCCGTCTTGGAAGTCTCGGGAGCCCAGGGATCCTCGGGAGCCCAGGGGAGCCTCGGGTGCCTAAGGCAGTCTCGGAGGCGGGGGGCGGGGACGTGGCGGTGCATCCAAGCGAGCGTGTTGTCGAGTACGGGGGGGGGGTCATTTCGATTCCTCCGATTCGATTCGCTTCGAGTTCGAGCTTCGATTTCGATGGCTTCCGATTCAGATTCGATTCGGCTTCGGATTCAGATTTGGGTTCCGATTTCCCAATAGAGGCCTCATAGCTTTCCGATTTCCGCGGATTCGATGTTTTCCGACTCGGCTGCCGATTTCCGCCGATCCAATTCATTTCGATCACCGATCCGATTTATCGATTCGATTATGGGTTCTCCTGGGGTGTGCTTGTAAGATTTGCCAGCGCTCCACCAGATAACATGCCATTCTACGGCGCGTCAACGTGCCATGCGTGTCGTGGCGGAGGGTGATAAGAGTGATGAGGATGAGCTGCGTGTATGCAGGATGCGACAGTGAGTGATCTCGGGGGAAGGGAAGTAATGAGTAAAGGGTGGGATACTGCGGAGGAGTAGCAGTGGGGAGGGAATCGAGGACGAGCTTGTACAGGGGACGACGAGCAGACATGTCTTCGCCAGGGCAGATCTGTATCTCTACTTGACGGTCCCTGTTCGCCGACCTCTTTCAGGGGGCTGGAACGGAAGTGACCCCAACCGGGAAATAGTTTCCGGTTTTGGTTCGCGTCGTGCGTGCTGGCGGGGCGAAGTTGCGTGAGTTCCATCCTTAGCAGAGCGAGCGCCGAGCGTGGCCCCACGGGTGTTCCGGCGGTCGTCCCGGCGGTTGTCCCGATGGTTGTGGTTGTCCCGATGGTTGTCCCGATGGTTGTCCCGATGGTTTTCTTGATTGTTTTCCCGATGGTCGTCCCGATGGTTGTCCCGATGGTTTTCCGGATGGTTATCCCGATGGTTGTCCCGATGGTTGTCCTGATGGTTGTCCTGATGGTTGTCCCGATGGTTGTCCTGATGGTGGTCCCGATGGTGGTCCCGATTTGTGTCCCGATGGTTGTCCTGATGGTGGTCCCGATGGTGGTCCCGATTTGTGTCCCGATGGTTGTCCCGATTGTTGTCCCGATGGTTGTCCCGATGGTTGTCCCGATGGTTGTCCTGATGCTTGTTTTGATGGTCGATAAATTGATAGATAGGCAGATGTATATAAAGGTAGATCGGTGTATATCTTTATAGATATATACAATTATAGATATATCGATAGGTAGGTAGGTCGATCTATAGATATGGTTGTCCCGATGTTGTCCTGGGATGTGTGCGAAACGCATGCGAGTCGCGGATGCCGCAAAGCGTTCCGCGAGCTTCTCGCGCGAAACGCATGCGACTATTGCATATTGCAAAGCGTTTCGCGCGCGTTTGCGACACGCATGCGAATCATACATTTCGCAAAGCGTTTTGCACGATACATATTCAGATATATTGTTAGATAGATGAGATATACAAGTCGATATATTTATATATATATGCACACATAGAAATGTATAGACATGAGGCAGACAAACATATACATGTATACAGGTAGACGTCTGTATAGACACACACATCTACGTAGTAATCGATCATTGTCCTAAATCGATAATGGGATATATAGGTCGATCCATAGATGGGGAGATGTGCTACACCATAGGATCGTTGAAGAAACCACCGCCAGCCTCCCCAGTCCCCCCCAACCTCTTTATCACCCGTAGGGTGGTCCTATCGGTAGATGTGTCATTCTCTCTCTGATTATGCCCACTCCCATCATGTTCCGTTGTTTGATCTTAATCTCTCGCGCTGTCTTTGTTCCCAACCATCCTGAGGTGTTGGGTCCTCGTTTTGAAGAGACGGTCCCCGCGTCCTCTCCTCTCCTCTCCTCTCCTCCTCTCCTCTCCTCCTCTCCTCTCCCTCCTCTCCTCCTCTCCTCTTCACCCACCCACACGTTTCGTGGCCCCATAGGGATAGAAGGCCCCAGCTCCGCGTCGAAGGCCCCAGTGCTGCCGCCCGCATGCGTCACCCACACCCAATTCGGCACACCCCTCACACGTTTCGTGGCCCCATAGGGAAGGCCCCATGCGTCACCCACATTCGGCACACCCCTCACACGTTTCGTGGCCCCATAGGGAGCTCCGCCGAAGGCCCCAGTGCTGCCGCCCGCATGCGTCCCGCACACCCAATTCGGCACACCCCTCACACGTTTCGTGGCCCCATAGGGAGCCCACCGAAGGCCCCAGTGCTGCCGCCCGCATGCGTCACCCACACCCAATTCGGCACACCCCTCACACGTTTCGTGACCCCATGGGACACCCAATTCGGCACACCCCTTCGTGGCCCCACCCCACCGAAGGCCCCAGTGCTGCCGCCCGCATGCGTCCCGCACACCCAATTCGGCACACCCCTCACACGTTTCGTGGCCCCATAGGGAGCCCCACCGAAGGCCCCAGTGCTGCCGCCCGCATGCGTCCCGCACACCCAATTCGGCACACCCCTCACACGTTTCGTGGCCCCATAGGGAGCCCCACCGAAGGCCCCAGTGCTGCCGCCCGCATGCGCCCGCACGCCCAATTCGGCACACCCCTCACACGTTTCGTGGCCCCATAGGGAGCCCCACCGAAGGCCCCAGTGCTGCCGCCCGCATGCGTCCCGCACACCCAATTCGGCACACCCCTCACACGTTTCGTGGCCCCATAGGGAGCCCCACCGAAGGCCCCAGTGCTGCCGCCCGCATGCGTCCCGCACACCCAATTCGGCACACCCCTCACACGTTTCGTGGCCCCATAGGGAGCCCCACCGAAGGCCCCAGTGCTGCCGCCCGCATGCGTCCCGCACACCAATTCGGCACACCCCTCACACGTTTCGTGGCCCCATAGGGAGCTCCACCGAAGGCCCCAGTGGCGGCGCTCACATGCGCATGCGTCCCGCACACCCATTTCGGCACATCCCTGACAGGTTTCGTGGCCCCATCATCCACCGGAGGCCCCAGTGGCGGCGCTCACATGCGTCACCCACACCCACCCAATTCGGCACACCCCTCACACGTTTCGTGGCCCCATTGGGAGCTCCACCGAAGGCCCCAGCGGCCGCTCACATGCGTCCCCGCCACCCATCCCGGCACGCCCCTCACAACAACAGGTTTCGTGGCCCCATAGGGAGCTCCACCGAAGGCCCCAGTGCTGCCGCCCGCATGCGTCACCACCCGCACTCAATTCGGCACACCCCTCACACGTTTCGTGGCCCCATAGAGAGCTGCACCGAAGGCCCCAGTGGCGGCGCTCACATGCGTCCCCGCCACACATCCCAGTACACCCCTCACGCGCTTCGTGGCCCCATAGGGAGCTCCACCGAAGGCCACAGTAGCGGCGCTTACATGCGTCTCCGCCACCCATCCCGCCCCCCCCCCCCCGCAGCAGCATCGTGTTTCGGGGACCCATAGGGAGCTCCACTGGAGGCCCCAGTGGCGGCCCGCACATGCGTTTCCGCCACCCATGTCGGCACGCCCCACGCGTGTTTCATGTCCCCATAGGGAGCTTCGCCGAATGCCCCAGTGGCACCCATCTCGGCACACCCCTCACACGTTCCGTAGTCCTATGGGGAGTTCCATTGAAGATGAAACCCGCAGCTGCGGTACTGACAACTGCAGATGGTTGGGTTCTTCGCCAGGCTAATTTTTCCTTTGCGTATTTGTCTTTCTCTCCACCTCTCTCAGGATTGTTCATCGCTCTCGCTCTAACTCTCTCTCTCTCCCTCTCCACCTCTCTTCCTCTCTCTCTCTCTGTTTCTCTCCCACCCTTATTTCCGTATCGTTACCTCTCCTTACATCTCACAATCTCTTTACGGTTGCATCTCACCCTCTCCCTCTCTTTTTCTCTTCACCTCTCCCCCTCTCTCTCTCTATTCACCCTCTTGTTCTCGCCCCCTCCTCCTGCTCCCCCCAATCTGGTGCAGCGGGCGCCGCCCTTGCACACAGGGAATCTCCGCAGCCTCCCCGACCGTATGCGGATCTGTGCCTCCGACGCCGCCCTGCCTCTCGCCTCCCCGACCAGCACGGGGCCAGAAAAGGGGCGGAGGGCCGCGCCGAGCGCCGGGGCGGCCGAGCAGAGGACATTTACGTGTCGGACCCCACCTGGGGCAACCACAACGCCATCTTCGCCAAGGCTCGGGGCTGGACAGAACCCTCAACAGTGACACGTCGATTCGTGAATTGTCCGTTTTCGGTTCTCGAGAGGGCGCCGTGGCCGTCATTTTCCAGGCTTGCGCCCGCCAGGTTTGGGCCCCAGGTCGTTTTCACTACACCGCGTTTTGCTAAAGGGGGGTCTGTCCATCCCCGAAAGGCCGGGCTGACGGTGAAGAGCTACCCGTACTGGGCCCCCGCCACGAAGTCCCTGAACATCGACGGCATGCTCGCGGCGCTCGGGGCGGCGGCAGAAGGCCGCGCGGTCCTTGGGGATGGGGCGCGCCCTGCCTGCCTGCCTGGCTGCTCCTCCTGCCCCATCCCCTCCTTTTCCCTCCTCTCCCTCCCTCCCTCTCCTCCTCCTTTCCTTCCCTTCCCTCCCTCCCTCCTCTCCCTCCCTCCCTCCTCTCCCTCCCTCCCTCCTCTCCCTCCCTTCCTTCCCTCCCTCCCTCCTTCCCTCCTCTCCATCCCTTGCCTCCCTCCTTCCTTCTCTTCCTGCTCCTTCCTTCCCTCCTCTCCCTCCTCTCCCTCCCTCTCCCTCCCTCCCTTCCCTCCTCTCCCGCCCTCTCCCACTCCTGCGCCTCCTCCTTCTCGCGTGCTCCGCGTCGTCGTCGCCTTCTTGCCTCCTCTCCATACTCTGGGGCCGCTGCAACCCGGATGGAGTGGTCGTGCCGATGTCACATCGCCGGCGCGTCGGCGATCCTGTGCGGCTGGATCGGGCGCCCGACGCTGTCCATCCTGGTGCCGCCGATGCATCGCCGGTGCGGTGTGATCCCCCGTTCCCGTACCCTCGTCTCCGGCCTCGATGAACAGCACAGACTTTGGAGTGCACGCTCGATTAGTCCGCGCGGACTTTGTGGATCGGCTCTGGACACTCCTGCCGCGCTGCGCTCGCCAGGGGGGGGCGCAGCACCGACTATAAAGATGTCCGTGCGGGCCTGCGAGGATCTCTGCTGATGCAGCCTGTTGTTTGCGTGTCTGAGGTCATGGCGTTCTGCTTCTCGTTGATGTCCTGACTTTGTTCGGACACCCAAGGACCGCTCCTGGGACCTGGGGCCAATCATAAGACGGTCCAGGGTCGCCGAGCGCGATGGGCGAAGTCAGGTGACCCAGATCGGCGGCGAGCGAAGGGGGGAAGTGAGGAGGAGGAGGAGGAGGAGGAGGAGGAGGAGGAGGAGGCGATCTCAGAAGGCGGCGGGACTCGTCGGAAGTCCTCGTGCCTTCTGAGGAGTCCACTCTGTCGTCGGGGAAGGCCTGGGAAGCTTCTCAGAAGGCTGGGGGACTTCCGAGCTTTCTGAAAAGGCCCGCCCCTTCTCATTTCCCCCCCTGGGCGCGCCGCCTAAAACGACACGAAGATCGGGACAAAATCGGATCGGGATAACTCGAAATCTCTGAGAGTCGGCGGGTTTGGAGGATGTATTGGGCGCCGCGGCCGCTCCAGAGCGTTCCGGAACGCTCTGAGAGCGCTCCGGAACGCTCTGGAGCGATTTATCCCGATCCTAGCCCTGTTTTATTTCCCCCCCTGGGCGCGCCGCCGACGAGGGACCGCCAGGGCCTGCGCGGCTCGGTCGCTTCGGTCAGGTCGGCTCGGTCGGCGGCTGCGCCGGGGCCGCGCCGCCGCGTCCCTGCAGGCTGCCTGCGGCGCCTCGAGCTCGGTCGGCTCCGCAGCGGGGGATGGCCTCGGGCCGCCCCCGTGGGGGTGGGGACCCTGGAGGCTCGGGGTTGGACAGGCCTCCTACCCTGACACGTCGATTGAGGAATTGGCCGTTTTCGGTTCGCGAGAGGGCGTCGCGGCCGTTATTTTTGCGGGTCCAGGTCCGTCAGTTTCGGTCCCAGGCCGTTTTCACTAAGGGGAGGTTTACTAAAGGGAGGTTTGTCCACCGCCGAGAGGCATCGAGGAGGCGCCTGCAGACTGCGCAGCCCGCGCGTCGTTCCGCAGGTTCGGATGCCACTCCCGAGAGGTCGAATTTGGCATCGGCGCCGTTATGGCGGCGGTCGAGAACTGGCCTCCTTTGGCAGGATCCTGATGAATCCCAGCCCAGTCCCGTTCAGTCCTGGCTTCCATCTGGGCTAATCCGGTTGAGTGGTTCCTGAATCGGGCGTGATACAGTGGAGATCCATGCCAATAAACACCTTGCTTGCCTCCGGGTTGCCCTGGGTTTCTTGGGTTTCGATGGTTCTGCGACGGAAAGCAGGGCGTCCCCACACCAAAAATCAAGGGACGTCCGGGGGGTCTCAGGGTTGGGTTTCTTGTGGAAGATTTCTTGTGGGCTGGCCTCCACTGTAGTGCTCAACCGTTTGAGCCCCCAGCGCGGGAGCCTTGGCGGGCCATCAGGGGGCAGTCTGCACGCGGATTTTGCATTCGGTCGTTGTTATGGGGGTGCTGCCTTGACGAGGGTCGGTGCCAGTCGTTGCAGTGTTTCCTGGGGGCGTACAGCAGGGGCCCGACCACAAGAAACTTCTCACAAGAATCCCAACCCTGAGACCCCAGGACGTCCATGGACTTTTGGCGTGGGAACGTCGCGCCTTCCATCGCAAAAACCGTCGAACCCCAAGAAACCCATGGCACCTTGGCGGCGAGCAGGGTGCTTCTTGGCATTGACCTCCACTGTACTTGCGCCCCTTGGGAGATTAGGCGGTTTGGGAGGCCAGCTAAAGGCTTTTCTTTGAGGGTCCATAGGGGCAAGACGTGCTCGAGGGGTGCGCCTCGGCTCGAGGCGCTCAGGAGCCGTCTGGGCCAGCTGAGCGCCCACCACAGCACTCACGAGGTGCGTGAGGTGTGTGTGTGTGTGTGTGTGTGTGCCGAATGGAGGTTCCCATCGACAGGGAAGGTCAACTCATTGGTAAATTTCAACGTATCCCACTAGCCTCGCGGCCCAAACCAATAGCTTTCCATGCGTCCCAGGGGCCTGAGACCGCAGTCAAATTCGACTAGCGTTTTTACGCGCTCCAGGGGAAACATGTCGAAACATCTTCGGGCTGGCGGATTCCGCGAAGCCCCTGTTAGCAAGCCTTATGCATTCTGTTCATGCTCCTCGATTTCATAATCATCTCATCATCTTGTCTTGAAGACTCACACGGCGAGGGCCCGCAGGGGTCCGCCGAATTCAATCGCTCCGCTCATTCCGCCAGCCCGCACTGTAGACCGTTTGCGGTTCCCTGCGCGCTCGCGGAGGCATGTTTGTGGCCGCGTGAGGCTTTTGAGAAAAGCCTCACGCGGCGCGTAATAGTAGCATGATCTAGCCCGCTTGCCAGTTCCGTAGGCTATGGGTCGACGCTCGCGCGGCGATACTCCGGAGTCAGTCCGACGTAAGTCCGACGTAAATCCGACGTGAACCCGACGTGAATCCGACGTAAGTCCGTCGTGGATCCGACGTAAAGCGGGTCTCAGGTTGCCGCGCGAGGCCTCCAGGATTCTCCGCATACAGTCGGGGCGCTGAAGAAGGAACCCTTTTCGTTGGGGAGGGGCTCGGTGTTCCTTCATTCCTTCACAGCTTGCCTGAGGTTTTTCAATGAAAATTATGAGTTTAACTTATGAAGCAAAGGGGCCTCGTTCCTTAGTTAGGGTTCCTTGGGTCAACGCCCCGACTGTGAGATCCTGGGACAATCTCCCGGGAGGTGCAGCCTCCCGGCCCAGGTCGGCGCCCGCCTCGGCGAGGGCCTGGCCCGCGATGCCGAGCTGATTGGGTTCGATCTGGCTCGGTGGCCGCAGGGACTCCTCCCCCTCCTCCTCCTCCTCCTCCTCCTCCACCTCTTCCTCCTCCTCTTCCTCCACCTCCTCCTCCTCCTCCTCCTGCTCCTCCTCCTCCCGTCTCCTCCTCCCTCCTCCTCCACCACCTCCTCCTCCACCTCCTCCTCGTCCTCCTCCTCTTCCTCCTCCTCCGCCCTCCTCATCCTCCTCCCTCATCCTCCTCCCTCCTCCCTCCTCCTCCTGCTCCTCCTCCTGGGAGGAGAAGAAACTGTACTTGCCGACATCAGCCGGGACCAGCGGGAGCTGGGCGCGGCGGGCCGATCTCGACCCAGTTCGGGAGGGCTAGTTGGCGATCCTCTGCCACGCGCAGAGGGGGGTCTTGTTAGAAGCACCCTTGCTCCTCAGAAGGCGCGGGCCTTCTCTGCAGATGAAAGAAGAGGCAGCCTCCTTCTAAGACGCCCTCCCCCCTCCCCCTACCTCTTTGTGCGCGTCGCAGGGGTCCGATCTGCTTCCGATCAGATGCGATTTCACGACGCGATCAATCCCAGGCTTGCCATATGGTATTTGGTTGGATCGCCTTCTGATAATCGTTCTCGTCAGGACCTACCAGGAGTTGCCTCATGACCCAGGTCAGCTCCTGTTTCCGATGCGTTTCCGATCCGATCCGATCCGTTTCAGATCCGATGCGGTTTCGCGAGTCGATCCAGCTCAAGCCTGCCAAGCGGCGCGGGAGTCGGCGTAGGGGAGCCTCCCCGGCGGAGGCTCCATCGTGCTGCTGCACGCCTGCGCGCACAACCCCACCGGCGTGGACCCCACGGAGGCTCAGTGGGAGTCCATCGTGAAGGCGCGGGCGCCACACGCGGCCGACAGACGTTGTTTAGCACACCTGTCGTCCGCTCGCTTGTCTCGTCCGTCTGGTCAGCTGGCGAAACACGGATTACAATATTATGTTTCCGCCATCGGGGGCGCTCGGTAAGGGAACGAACAATGACATCAACATACAAACTCGGAGGTCCATGCGGATTTCTCAGATCGGCGCTGGACCCTCCTCCCTGACGCGCGGAGCGCGCCAGCCGATCCGAGGACTCCGCGCGGACCTCTGAGTTTTAATGTTTATGTCATTGTTCGTTCCCTTATTACAGTATTCTGTTTCCGCCATCGGGGGCGCTTGTCCCAGGGCGGGTTGGAAGTTTATACTCCCCTGCCTGCCACCGTAGGGATATAGAACCTTCCTGGCCGCCCTGGGACAGTCATCTTTGCAGGCCATGGTTAAGTAGGGATGGTGGAGAGCATCTTTGCAGGCCAATGGTTAAGTTGGGCATGTCCATCTACAGGAAGTATATTTGAAAGTATCAGAAGATACTCTGGGGGCGATGATTAGATGTGTTTGTTTCCGAACGTTTATCTAGCATTTTAATTGTTTATCCAAGATTCGCCCGTAGGGGGACATGCCCGACCGAAGCCAATGGTTTCATTTGGCTTGTGTGGTGCGCATTGCATTTTGACTCTCATATCGACCTCTGGTCCAATATCATTGTCGTGCCGAGCCTTTCTGCGATATCATCGGTGTTCATTGCTGGGACCGTCCAGAGCTCATCGTTCATCCAGAGCTTGTTTAGCGAAGCAGTGTGATTGAGTCACACAGCATGAACTTGTGATCGCGCGGTGTGCATTGGAGGCCCCAGCCATGGCGTGGGCGGCGGTGGAGTGACCTGGGCCCCTCCTCCTCTGCCGGCTTCTTCTTCTCCGCCTGCCCCCTTCCCGCTTCTCAAGGCACCTGGGGCCCCAAGGGAACCCCTGTGTGGGCCCGTGTCCTGGTCCCCTCCGGTGATATCCATCAACCTTGACTCGGGGAGGTGGGACGTCGTGGGTGTCGGGAGTCCCTCTGCCGTTGGGTGTCGGGAGCCCCACAACTCGAGGGAAGAGACACGGGGACCATGACCAAGATTTCGCGGGATCTGGTCGATGCTGATTTTGGTCATCGTTCACACCTGCCATCCCGCTCCGCGAGGATGACCCTCGAGAAGTGGCGCTGACCAAGATCGACGGTGACCAAGATCGACATGACGCGTCCACGCTCAGTCTTGGCCATGGTGCCCCGCTTCCGTCCCCCTCCAGCAGCGGTGCGGTGGCCACACCAGGGCTGGACCTGAGCGCTGTTTTGCTGGACCGCGGCCGTGTCTTGCTGTTTCGTCTTGGTGGGGAGCTACAGGAAAAAACAGGCAGAGCAACGCGACACACAACACCACAGCAAGACGGAAAAACAACGTTCAGGTCCAGCTCTGGAACACACCGTGAGGGTCCAGGCAGCGGGTGGCCCCTTCTCGGGTATAGCCAGGACCCCGGGTAAGGGGACCCGGCTAGTGGTAGGGCCCTGGGGCCCCTCCATTGGCCAGATTCACTAAAAACCAGGTTTGCCGTCACCGGTGTTTTTCGGGGGACGGCAGTTCCTGCTATAGCGGAACGGGGCGCGGGGGGGGCACCCCCCGGTGCGCATCACGAAACCAGGTTCCACTACACCCAGTTCTACCAACGCCCGACCTTCGCACGGCTGCTGGGGCCGGGGGGCCGCTCTCCGAGGCCGCCCCGGGCAGCTGCGGGGCCGCCCCGCGCGGGGCAGCCACAAGAGCGCGGGCGGGCCCGCGCGGCGAGGTCTGCATGGCAGCTCTCTCGCGGCCCCCGCGCGGCCTGCCGCCCGACGGCGGTGGCCGTGGGGCCCACGCGCGGAGCCGCAGCTCTCCGCGGCCTCGCGCAGCCGGGGCCCCGGCCCCCCGGGGCGCTTCATGTGCGACCGCGCAGCCGCGTGTCTGGACGCCCGAAAATGGGCACGGGAAGAATGGGTACAATGCCCAACGGGGCGCGGGGGGGGCGCCCCCCGGTACGCGTCACTAAACCAGGTTCCATGAAACCCAGTTCTGCCCACGCCCGACCTTCGTCAGGAGCGAAAGAAGGACGTACATGTACATGAATCCACGCTGGTTTCGAGAGCACGCATTGCACAAAGGTTCGTATAACGCAGCCGGTCTCGCGAATCGAGGGGCCGTGTTCATGTACATAGCTGGGCGCGTACGTCCTTTATGGGCTCCCTACTTCGCACGGCTGCTGGGGCCTGGGGGCCGCTCTCCGAGGCCGCCCCGGGCAGCTGCGGGGCCGCCCCGCGCAGGGCAGCCAACAGAGCGCGGGCGGGCCCGTGCCGGCGAGGTCTGCATGGCAGTTCTCGCGGCCCCCGCGCGGCCTGCCGCCCGACGGCGGTGGCCGCGGGGCCCACGCTCGGAGGCCGCAGCCCTCCGCGGCCTCGCGCAGCCGGGGCCCCGGCCCCCCGGGGCGCTTCTGTGCGACCGCGCAGCCGCGTGTCTGGACGCCCGAAATGGGCACGGAAAGAATGGGTACAACGCCCAACAGCAGTTCTTGAACATTTTGAGCAGGACTCGCTGTCCGCGCCGCCGCGGCCTGTGTCCATTGGAGACAGAAGGCCGCCTGCCCAACAGCGGCCGCTGTTGGTTCGGGACAACATTTGCTGTTGGGCATTGTACCCATTTTTTCCGTGCCCATTTCGGGCGTCCAAAGCGTGAGCGCGCCCCGGGGGTCGAGACCGCGAGGGCGCGTCAGCGGGTGTCCCGCGCGGAGCGCATTCTGTGCGACTGCGCAGCCGCGCGAGCGCGCCCCTGGGGCCCAGACCGCGAGGGCGCGTCGGCGGGCGCCCCGCGCGGAGCGCATTCGGTGCGACCGCGCAGCCGCGTGAGCGCGCCCCGGGGGCCCAGGCCGCCAGGGCGCGTCAGCGGCACCGTGGTGGGCGCTCCCTGCGGGGTATTCTGGAAAGGTGCTGAGCGCTGCCCTTCTTCGGGGGCCTCTCTCTGGCACTTCAGCTTTGCCCGCAACAGGGAGGGTTGGGTTCGCCGGGTCACTGGCCAACGTGCCCGTCGGTGGAGTCCCCGTTACAGGGGCGCGGAGCGCGGATGCGGAGATGTTCGCCGCTCGTGAGTGGGGACTCCCCCAAGGGTTCTCATGTTCCAACCTGCTCTAGCCCTCGAAATTCCGAGCACCGGGGGTATAACAAGAATTGGAGGGTTCTCACGTGTCGGACCCTGCTCGTTCTCGACACTGTCTCGATGACATTTTTCTGGGTGCTCGACATTATTTCCGGGATGTGGTCCTTGAGTGCGATGGGAGCAGCATAACCCAAGGGAGGGCGGGTGGCGAATGTGGGGGCCGAGCATTTTCTTTGGGTCGAGGGCAAAGGGTGCAATCTGAGCCGCTTCGTTGGATTTTCGAGGCTTGAGCCTGCAGAAGGTGAATCACAAGACGGATTGATCTTCGAAGTGCAAAAGCCCATGCGGATTTCACCCTGAGCCCTCCACCCTGAGAATATGCTCAGGGGGGGGCCCCGTGGGCGGGCGGAGGGTCCGCGGGAGCGGGCGAAGGCCACGGACCCCCTCTCGCATGCGCGGAGGAGTGCCTGCCCGCTTCTCGCTCCCAGAGCGCTGGCGCTGGCCGCAGCTTCAGGGAGGAGGAGGAGGAGGAGGAGGAGGAGGAGGAGGAGGAGGAGGAGGAGGAGGAGGGAGGAGGAGGAGGAGGAGGAGGAGGAGGAGGAGGAGGGGGGGAGGAGAAACTGGAGGAGGAGGAGGAGGAGGAGGAGGAGAGGAGGAGGAGAAGGGGGGGAGGAGGAGGAGGGGGGAAGAGGGGGGGTCGGACCAGGGAGAATGGGTCCCTAGCTGAGGGAGTCTCAAACATGTGCGCAACACAGCGGGGGCCCATGCCAAGGAACACCCTGCTTGCCTCCAGGGTGGCCTGTTTTCCTCGCGTTTCGATGGTTTTGCTATATGGAACGTGTGACGTTTTCCCACACCAAAACCAATGGAAGTCCTGGAGTCTCAGGGTTGGGTTTTGTGGAAGGGTTCTTGTAAAGTCGCCGAAGTTTCCGCTTTCTTGTTTAGACCGCCCCGACGAGGTCAGAGTAGATGGGGTCGGAAGGTCGGACGATGGCGCCGCATCGCGGATGCATCGGCGATGCGGCTTGATGTGGAGCCCAGGTTTCTCCACGCCGACGTCGCCGATGCATGGCGCCGACGTCGCCGATGCATCGTTGATGAATCGGTTGTGCATCGACGATGCGGCGCGATCCCCCGACACCATCGACTCTGTCCCCACCTGGGAGGCTTCTACAACCCCCCCGATAAAAAGTCCGGACCGCAGAGGTCGCGGAAACTTAGCATTGAGCTTGTCCCGTTAGGCCGCGGGGCCCCAGTACAATGTTGCCGGGACCGCCATGGTGGATTTCCGATTCATGCCTCATCTCTTTTAATATTATCATCGCCAGATGGGACGACGATCGGAAATTCGCATTCCGCCCAAGACACTTTCTTGAACAAAAATTCCGATCGGGTTCCAGAGGACCTGAATTTTTCAGAGGCGATCGGAAATGTGCGATTTCGCTTGAGACGTCCTCACAAAACACATTCCGGTCCGACTTATGATGCCTGGAAGTAGCGTCATTTTTTTGAAGATTTTGCAAAGCTCGTTTATTTGTCTCGACGCGCGCGATTCTAAACAGAACGTAACCGACGATTCATCGAGGGCCAATGCTCCAGATACAATCGGTGAGCGAGGACGCAAGGGGCCTTGTAGGGCCGATCCGGGCTTTTTAATCCAGGAGTTGGTAGTCTCGCATTCACGGAATCTCGGAGAATAGCACCCAATGTTGCGCGCACCGCGCCCGCTAGCGCCCAGTTGCGCCGAGTAGCGGCCAAATAGCGCGAGACGAGGCAGATGCTTTATTTACCTCCGCATTGCGCGCTGTTTGGCGCCATTGGGCGCGCTGTTGAGGGCCATGTGCTGACCAACCCGAGCCGCCGAGATGGGAGGTGGGCCGTTGCCGTTCTCGGATCATTCGTCTGGCCCTCGGTGCTGCCAGCGGCGCGCAGGTGATGCAGGAGAAGAAGCTGGTGCCGCTCATGGACAGTGCCTACCAGGGGTGCCCCTGCTAGAGGAAGGAGGGAACACGCAGGTGCACGACCATCCTGGGCTCAGGATCGGTGCACGGCTCGGCCAGGCAGGCGTACGCGTAAGTCGGGCATGCCAAATAATAGGTTGGGGACGAGTTTTCGAGTATCTGTTTTTTTTTTGTTGGAGCATGTGTTGTATCTGTTATGTTTCGCCCTAACTCCACCTGCAGGGGGACATGCCCGACCTGAGCGTACGCGCCTGTCCTGAGCCCAGGGTGGGCCACCCCCCCGCAAGCAGGAGGTTCTGGCCGTGCCCGGGGGCACCGCAGGAAAGCACGGGTTCTCGGGAGGACCGCGTCGGGCTGTTAAGGAGGGCTGGTGGTGTCTTCCTGTGCGGGACAAGTTTGATGGGGGGAAGGGTGAGGGGGGGAAGGGGGAGGAGGATGATACAGTGACGAGGAGAAAAATAGGCAAGAGGTCCAGGACTCGTTCGTGAGGGCGAGGACGATGACGGGGATCAGCATCAGGGTGAGGAGGAGGCGGAGGGTGGGAGGTGGGAGGGTTTGAGGGCGAGGACGAAAGGTGGAGTGAAAAGTAATAGGAGAGAGGGGAGCACGTGGATGGCCATAGAAGAGACGCGGCCGACTGAGGGGGGGGGGGGGCGGAGTCTCTCCTCCAACCTCCTTGCCCCTCCTCCCTCCTCCCCCCTCCCTGCTCCTTCTTCCCCCCTTCTCCCTCCGCCCTCCTCCCTGCATCCCTCCTCCTCGACCCCTGCCTCGTCCCTCCTCCATCCTCCCCTCTTCATGTCCCCCCCTTTCCTCACTTCCTCTCCCTCCAGAGGCCCGAGCTTTGGCCGCAGCCGTGTTGCCTCCTAGTCTCGCACATGCGCATGGCTCGGGCCAAGCGTGCTCCTCGCGAGGGCGAGGCGCCGTGCCGCCATCTGTTGGGAGCGAGGCGGAGCCGCTCCGCTGGCACCGCCGCTGGCGCCGCATTGGCCTGCTCCGCCTCTGTGGCTGGCGCCGCCGCCGCCCGCAGGTGGGTGGATGGGAGCTCCACCCCCGCTGCCCCCTCCACGGCATCCGCCGCCGCCCGCACTGCCTGCAGCCGCAGACGCTCACCACCCACCAAATCACCCCAACCCAACCCGAAGGTCTCAATTTGCCCTCCATTTCTAGTTGGGGGGGGTCCGGGAACATCGAAAAAACACATGTGGAGCCCATACCCCCCCAAACCCGAAATTCGGGTCTTCGGGTTGGGTTGGGGTGGTCTGGTAGGTAGTCATCCACGGCATCCGCCGCCGCCCGCACCGCCTGCAGCCGCAGACGAGCGCCCAGCTGAAGCACGAGGTGCAGGACCAGCAGCTTCGTCCTCTTCCTCTCCGCTGCCGCCTCTGCCACTGTTCACGCGCAGTATTTTTGCACCCAGTCGCGGGCATGCTGTTTCGTCGCCGGCTGCGCTGCTGCCGCTGGGACCACCTGCGGGAACTGAAGGACCAGCGAGAGCTGACGCGTCGCCCCCTCCGTCGCCGGCCGCCGCCGTTGATGCACCACCAGTGGGGCTTCGTCTGAACCGATGCAGGCGGTCGGCCTCGGACTCTGGCAATGCCTCCCGTGCCCGCGAGAAGCATCGCGTTGTTGACGGAGGCGTCTCCCGTGCGACGCAGCCTCAGAGCTGATACAGGTAATTCGGAGCAAGAGCAGCTCGGCGCGGAACAGGAACAGCCAGAGCAGGAGCAGCTTGACGTGCTGACAGTGCCATCCGATGGTTACACTGAAGCACAGCCCAGGCGTTGTTTTAAGGACCGCGCTGAGCGCGCTGTCTCATCCTCATGTCAGAGGAACACGTTGCAACTGTGAAGGTCCATTAGGAAGTGCGTGACGGAGACACCAATGCATATCTCCAGGCACGATTGGCGTGACTTTTGTTCGCGCATGCCATCTAGTATGGTGTACTGCCAGAGCCTGAGATGCCCCCACTGCCCGTGCGCGATGTCTCCAAGGCCCCTGCTCAGCGCCCGCAGCGGAACAAGAAGGAGGGTTCCAGCGTGCCATCTTTGCAGACGCATCACACACGATGGAGTTCCCATGGGACCAACAGCGTGCCATCTTTGCAGACGCATCACACACGATGGACGCTGGCAAGGCAGGCGAAGGGTTCAGTTGCCGTGCCTGTTTTGTTGAGGACTTCTCCCGAAGAAAAGGATGCTCTGATATCTTGTTTCGCTTGCAGAACGCAGGAATTGCCTTACATCTTCCCAGAGCCTGGCAGCAAAGGCCGCTGATTTCACGGGTGCATTCTGCATGACTACGCCCCCCCTCTCTGACTGTGTGTCATGGCGTCGTTGGGATAAGTATTGTCTTGTCGGCTGTCCTTTGGCGTCCTCGGTTGCAGCATTCGGCCCATCGCCTGTTTTATGCTATTTGGTGCAGTAATTTTGCTTGCGCGCTGCATGTTTGTCCAGTTCTTTGCCTGTTGGCTGTCCTCTTGGCGGCCCGCCGGTGCTTGTTGCTCTGCCTCTTTCGCACGGCGTTGGCTGCAGCCTTCCGTCCATCGTGCGAAGAGCCCCGTTCTGTCAGGCAGTGCCGTCGTGAGCACTCTGCGCGCTCGCCTCTTTACGCGACTTGCTATGTCGCGTGTGTTGGGGCACTTCGTGTCCAGGACGCCTCTGTTGCCCATGCCTGCCTCTGAGTTGGGAGCCTTCCTGCCTGCTTGCCCCTTGGGGCTCTCCCTTCGCCCTCGCATCGACGCTGGTCTTGTGATAGTGTGGCCTGCGTTCAGCGGGTCTTCGCTGTTGCGAAGCGCCTTGGGTCTCGTGCCCATTCCAGTGGTTCAATGCTAACCGTCTGGTCCTGCACTGCACCGATGGATTTCTGGGACGCCCTCTAAAAGGGCATCCGACACGCAGGCAGCCTGTGACATCCGTATGCTGCCTCAGGCCTCTTTGCCTTTTTTTCGCTCAGTGGTCATCTCTCCCTTGCCTGTCCTTGTTCTCCGGGCTGGGTTGGCGCACCCCCCGGGCCTTGGAGCCTCCCATGCCTTGCTCCCACCGTGCGTTGTTTCACGTCTGGGTCGGAGGCTCTCGCCAGCAGGCGTTTCTCTTGCACTTGCGTTGCTCAGGAGGGGACTAAAACACACAGACTCAATTAATCGCCGATTCTCAGGAACATATGCAAAAATATGGGAAGTGGGGGGAAGACAAAAACCCCAAAAATATATCAGAATATGGGGAATCTTTTTATCTGTGTGTATTTGTTTGTGTGTCCTGGGGCCCCGTCAGTCACGTGCGCATCGTGCGTTTCGTGCTGTGCACCGCGACAGGCTGACAGTGTGCCTCATATGGTTCGAGGCCCGGGGAGCCCGGCGCCAGGCCCCCGGAGGCCGAGGTCGAGGAAGGGCCCCCCGCCGCGGCGCCTTCGGCCCAAGGGAGCCCCGCCGCCTCGGCCGGAGGCCGCTCGGAGGAGCTGGTGCGCTGGGATCCCGAGAGGGGGCCGGGGAGCGACTTTGAGCTGGCCGGGGGCGGCCAAGATCTAGGCCTCCTAGATGGGGTCGGAGTAGATGGGGTCGGAGGATCGCGCCGCATCGCGGCTCGATGCGGAGCCCGATTTTCTCCATGCCGACGTCGCCAATACATCGCCGACGTCGACGCCTCATCGCCTCTACAAGAGGGGTGATGATGACCATTTGGGGGGGAATCTCATGGCGTGGGCCATGATATTTCCCCGCATGTCATGGCGCCTCTTCTTATTTTCGGGGGCGGCAAAGAGGGGGGTGATGACTAGGGGGGGGTATCATGGCGTGAGCCATAATATTTCCCCGGATTTCATGGCGCCTCTTCTTATCTCATTACGCCCGTGGCCCCCCCCCCTGGGCCGCGCGCGCGCCGCTGGCCATGAGTTGCGCCCTCCGCCCTCTTGGACGCCCCCCTCTTGGCCGCCCCCGGTCCGGGGACCGATTTTGAGCTGGCGCTGCACCTGCTCGCAGTGTTGCGACCGGCACCCCACAGGTTGCGAAGCTGGGGCGCGTATGCACCGATCCCGTGGGCGGATGAGGCGACGCCGCGTGCACTGCGAGCCCCTCCGCTGGGAAAAAGTCTTCGGGCGACCGCAGCCGCGCCGCGGCGTGTGCGAGAATCTCCGGGGCCGCGACCCGCCCGCCGCGGCGCTTGAGCTGCAGTCGGGGCCCTGAAGAAGGAACCCTTTTCGTTGGGGAGGGGCTCCGCGTTCCTTAAGCGTTTCACGGTTTGCCTCAGGTTTTCCTTATGTTTTCGATCGGAGATCGAACTTTAACTTATGGAAAAAAGGGGCCTCGTTCCTTCTTTAGGGTCCCTTAGGTCAACGCCCCGACGGTAGCCCCCCCCGGTCCCCGTCCGCCCCCCCGGGTCGGCGCCCGAAGTCGAGGGCTCCTGGGAGGAAGGGCCCAGACATGGTCGTTTCGAGGCAGAAGTCAGGGCGGCAGGTTTTTCTCATCGTGTTCGGCCTCCCGGGGCCCTCGCCGGGGCACTGGGCCCCGGGACCGTCAGAGAACGGCGCACGATACAAGAACGTATATGTGGGGAGGACGGGGGGGGGCGGATGGGGAGGGGGGATACAGTGGAGCAGTGGAGACCCATGCCAAGAAACACCCTGCTGGCCTCATGGGTGCCCTGGGTTTGGTTTTTCTGTGGAAAGCGTGACGCCCCCCATGCCAATAATCAATGGATGTGCTGGGGTCTCAGGGTTGGGTTTCTTGTGGCAGGTTTCTTGTGGACTGGCCTCCACTGTAGGAGGGGCGAGCAGGGGAGAGGATGGCGGGACGGATGGGGGAGGGCCCTGACCTTCCAAGAGGGTATGAAAATACATAGAACCAGGACCTCGACATCTGCATCCCCGTCGAGGTGTTAGGCGGTCCAGAGAGGTCCAGAGGTCCAGAGGGGTACAGTGGAGGCCCATGCCAAGAAACACCCTGCTTGCCTCCAGGGTGCCCTGGGTTTGCTGGGTTCCGATGGCGTTGCGATGAACAGCGTGGCGCTCCCACACCGAAAATTCAATGGGCGTCCTGGGGTCTCAGGGTTGGGCTTCTTGTGGGAGGTTTCTTTGTGGACTGGCCATCCACTGTGCCACTCTGGAGGCTCAGGAGGGGGGCTGTCGGGGGCGGGGCGAGGGAGCGGGCAGCGCCGCCCGCGCAGCCGCCGGGGTGTCCGCAGGTACGCCTCCGGCAGCCTCGACAAGGACGCGTACGCCGCCCGCTCGGCTGCGCCCGCGAACACCTCCCGCGGCTGGGCACGGGTCCAGTCGGACCGAGGTATAAGATCGAGGCTGGCTCGGGGAGAGTGCCCCAACGTTCTTCGTGCTCGCGGGATGGTCTTGTGCACCCCAGGGATCTTGGTCGGCGGAGGGTCCCCTGTTCTCGAGTGACGCGTTTCTGCCTCAGGCCCGACTGTAACCTTCCCAGGGGAACCTTTGCAGCCGCGCCTCTCCGGTCCGTCCTTCACCGCTTCCGATGGCCCGCCGCGCTCGCAGAAGCTGCGGCGTGGGCGTCCAAGGGGCCTGCATCCCTGCGGCGCATCCGTACTACCAGTTTTGACTGTAGGGCGCGGGGTCGGCCAGCATCGAGCGGATCCGCGATGTCGGAACGCCACGATCGTGGAAGGTTGGGCGATCCACGTCGTTCGAGTAAGATCGCCTCCGGCCCCGCCCTTGGCGCGCGCTCTCAACGGCACCGTAACGGGTACGCACTAACGGGTACTTTGCAATGTTGTCGAAAGTTGTCATTTTCGGGTCTCTTTCTGGCAATGCAGCATTGCCCACATCGGGAAGGATTGGGCTCGCTGGGTCACTGGCCAAAGTACCCGTTAGTGGAGTCCCCGTTTGATGGGCGCTGACGCTCTGCGCGCCAGGGAGGGCGGTCCATCGCCCATTCAAGAAGTCCGCGCGGATCTCCGAAAGGTTCGATGTGTGCCGATGTGCCTTCCTTTGTGGCAAGCGCCACTGCCGACGTCGCCACGGCACGGGCCTGCCGTGAGGTCAATCGAGGGACAGGCGAGTGTAGCCTCATCTTTGGGGAGGGACCCCCTTTGGTATCCTGAGGGTCTCGTTGCTCCCTGGGTCCTTCCACTGGAGTTCCTGTGGCCCTTCGAGCGTATGGGCTCAGCTTAAGCCCTGAGGGGCTTCGTTCCTGGGACCGGGCCCCCGACGCCGGTCCCGCAGTCCGAGGGCCTCCCCGCGAGGGTCCCCAGGAGAAGCGGTCTGAACCCGGGAGGTTTGCCGCTCGACGTCGCTCGGACGTGTGCATTTTTCCTCGGCGAGAAGCATCGAGGAGCATCTCAGAGCATCTTGCGAAACAAGTGCACGCACGACATCGAAGCGTGCACGGGGAATGGGCGTCCGAGCGATGGCGAGGCCCGAGGACACCGACGGCCTGCACGGCCGGGCGGTGCCCCCGTCGGTGGGGCGGCGACCATTTTGTCTCCAGACCGTGACCTGGCCGAGGAGGGGTCTGCCGTTGGACCGATGAGTACATGCTGGTCGTTTTCTTAGTCATTGTTTTGCCGATAGGCGCGGGCCGTCGCACGGCCCCCCCTTCCATAGAGTAGATCTTGGCTGCTTTTGTCGCCTGCTTCGAGCAGGTGGAGTCTCCCCTCAAAGGATGCACTGTTGCAAACAGTCGCGCTAAGCAGAGGTCCGGAGCCAGACCCCCCCCTCCCCCCTCTTCCGCCCAGTGTCGAAACGCCGGATGCGAAAACGTTGACCATGTTGGAAAGGGGGATCCTCGTCTCTGCGACAGGATCCACCCCAAAGCCTGCCTCACGAGTCAGTGATCGCCTGGTGGTCGAGTCTGAGGGTAAGGACCCAGACCTCCGGCCACCAGAGCAGTTCGGGCTGGATGTGTGTTCCCGACGTCACGAAACATGTTGCGACGCCGCGACAAAGCACGACGGCAACTCTGGACGACTACCTTCCCGAGCGATCCTCTCGAGCCAGATCGATCTGTGAGGGCCCCGTGGCCCGATCCAGGACGAACACGGTTCAAAGACTTGAGGATTTGCCGATTCTCGGGCGGAGCTGGTACCAGGATGAGTCGCTCCAGAGCGTTCATCGGCCGCCGCTCCCGATAAATCCTCCAGAACCGCAGGATCTCAGAGGTCCCCGACGTATTATGTATCTGGGCCCGATGGCTCCCCCGTGTTGGCCTCGTTGCAGATTGCCCCCGCAGCCGAGGCGGTCCGGCTCTTTCTGTCGAAGGGCTTCGAGTTCTTCATGTGCCAGTCTTTTGCGAAGAACCTCGGCCTGTATGGCGAGCGGATAGGCTGCCCCTGCACCGCTGCTCTCGTTGCCGCCGCTCCTTTCGGGGAGGGTGTTCCTCTTGTTCCCGTCCTCCCCCCCTTTCTCCCTTCTCCTTCTCCTCCTCCTCATCCTCCTCCTATTCCTCCTCTTCCCCCTCCCTCCCCTCTCCTCCTCCTCCCCCTCCTCCTCCTCCTGTCCTCCTGTCCTCCTGATCTTCCTCCTCCTCCTTCTCCTTCTCTTCCCTCCTCCCTATTTCCTCCTCCCTCCTCCCAGAACACCTGGACGCTGCAGGTTTCCAGCGCGGGCAGTGGCGCCCGGCTTTCGGGCCACGGGGCCCCCACGGATCGATCTCGCGCGCACGGTGGCACAGGAAGATCGACGAACCCTCAACACACACCCATATCCATAGGGGGGTCGGAGAGGGCTACGGGTGCGTGTTGTCGGATGGGGGTCCCCGCTCGAACGGGAGCGTTCCCCAGGGTCCGACAACCCGCACCCATACCCATAGCCAGTCCTTCTCCCAACGACCGCCCCTATGGGTATGTGTGTGTGTTGTTCGCTCGTCAAAGATGGGGTCTGGAGTTCTGGCCGTGATGTGTCGCGATGTTGCATCTTTGCTGCAGCGTCAGATCTCGGGGACGGAGGGGCCCGCTCCTGCCATTGTTTCTTCTGGTGCTCCTGCAGAGGAGGAGGACGAGAAGGAGACGGAGGGCAAGGAGGAGGAGAAGGAGGAGGAGGGGGATGGTGACTGGGAAGCGGGGGCGGCTGGTTGGTTGGAGGAGCTGGAGCACGAGGAGGGAGGAGGTGGAGGAGCTGGTGGGAGCAGAAGACGAGTAGTAGGCAGAGTTGGGGAACGGCAGAGTCAGAGGCTGAGTAAGATTGGGATAAGGGGGGCGGGGGGGAGTAGGTCCTACTCCCCCCCGCCCCCACCTTTCAGGTGAAGTAGCTAGACTAGCTGAAGGTGGGACGAGGGGGATGCTTTGATTTGGACTCGGAGAAGTTATGATGTTGACATTGGCGTTGATGATGATGGTGATGATGCCGGGGACGACGACGACGACGACGACGACGACGACGACGACGATGATGATGATGATGATGATGATGATGATGATGATGATGTTGATGAGGATGAGGATGAGGATGATGATGATGATGATGACAAGATGACGATGACGGCGATTATGATGCTGATGATGCTAATGACGTTGACGACGGCGACGAATGATGATGATGAGCATCAACATGTTGATGATTACGATGATTATGATGGTGATGATGATGATGATGATGATGCTGATGCCGATGATGATGACGATGCTGATGATGCTGATGTTGCGTAGGTTTATGACGATGATCATATTGCCGACGATTGCGAAGTTGAGGATGACAACGATATATAGATGTACCAGGATGAACGATTACGGTGATTGCGACGATGCTAATGATGATAAAGAAGAATAACAAGTTGATGATTACGATGACGATGATAATGACGATGAAGATGACGATGGTCAGGATGACTCTGATGATGATGATGATGATTATGATGTTGATGATGATGATGATGATTATGATGATGATGATGATGATAATGATGATGCTGATGATGATTAGGATGATGCATTGATGGTGATGTTCATGTTCATGCTCATGATGTGTGTTATTGTCGTTGGTGATACTTGGGATGATGATATTTGACGATGATGGATGAATGGTGATGGGGAGGAAGAGCTGCCCAGGCATGCTCCACATCATCTGCCAGACGCCCGAATTGGCGAAGGTGGTGCTCTCTCAGGTGAAGCTTGTGATTCGGCCGATGTGCTCCCGGGCCTCACGATCTCTGTGTGTGTATTTGGCGCAACTGGATGCATGCCATCCCCTTCCCATTCCGCCCTTCACCCTTCCTCGCTCGGAGTAGGAGAATCAGCATGACCACACACCTTTAGAGCTCCGCGCGGATTTCTTGGATCGGCACCTGGGCCCCCCCTGACCCAGAGCGAATCCAAAAAATCCGCACAGATCTACTAAAGTGACTACTTATGCAGTTGCCTCTTCCTCTACTCACCCTGCCCTCCCGCCGCCCCTGTCTCTCCCTGCCGAACGAGGGGCCGAAGGCAGGACCGCGAGGAAGAAGACGAGGAGATGACGGGACGCTGCCAGGACGAATGAGTGGGACATTTTCGCGGAACAGCGGCGGGCGTGTGAGGGTCTTTGGGGTTGGATGGCTCTCGTGGGCAGAGCAGGATTATTTGGAGGAGGAGGAGGAGAAGAAGGGAGAGGAGGAGCAGGAGGAGGAGCATGAGGAGGGTGAGGGGGAGGAGGAGGGGGATGAGGAGGAAGAGGAGGAGGAGTAGGAGGAGGAGCTGGAGGACTAACTGAACGGCCATCCCGCCAATGTCGATCCCTAAGGCTGACAAGCCCAACGGCCATGACAATCCCAGGGATGCGCCCTCAGAAGCGGTGGGAATCTTTGAGATCGTCATCGAGATGGTGTGATGCCACCAGAACGAGGATGTGATCCAGGCTGGTAACGGATGGGGGGCCCGCGGTTGCTGAAGAGCAGCGCACTGCCGATGCGCTGTCACGATATGTCCCGCGGGTGGGGGACCTGAGGAGCGCTGCATTCCAGGCCTCCCTGATGGGATCGGAGCACATGGGGTAGTAGGATCGCGCCGCATCGCTGATGCATCGGTCGATGTGAAAACCGATTCTTTCCACGCCGACGGCGCCGATGCGTCGCCGACGTCGCCCATGCATCGGCGATGTGGCGCGATCCTCCGACCCCATCTACTCGGACCCCGCGTAGGAGGCCTCACAACATGCCCCGCGGGTGGGGGCGCTGCACGAGCCCGCAGCGGGTTTCCCTCGGGACAGCCCGAGCAGATGCTTGGCGGTCCCATGGGGCCCGTGAAGGGCCCCATGGGGGCTATAGCACGGCGACAACCCCCCCGGGCCCGCGTGATGCTCGCCCTCGATCCTACCTGCTGCAAGCCGGCCCGCCGTGGCCCACTTCGCCATCCCCGATGAGCCTCTGACGGCGGCAACGATCGGCGGCGCGCGCAGTGTGGGGGGCAGAGGGGGCCAGCCTTGGCAGAAGGAGGAGGAGGATGACGACGAGGAGAAGGCAGGAGGAGGAGGAGGAAGAGGAGGAGGCGGAGGCGCAGGAGGAGGAGAGGAGGAGGATCAGGAGGAGGAGGAGGAGGAGGAGGAGGAGGAGGAGGAGGAGGAGGAGAGGAGGAGGAGGAGGAGGAAAGGCAGAGGGGGTCGGCCTTGGCAGAAGGCGGCGGGGAGCTGCAGAAGGCCTCCCGCCTTGTTCAGAAGCCGCCCGTGGCCTCTGAGAGAGCCCAGAGGGCCTCCCAGCCGCCGCCTTTCTGCCGCCTCTCTTGATGGGCCTGTTCTCCACCACCACCACCATGAGTTGGAGGGGGGAAGGAGGTGGATGAGGAGGAGGAAGAAGAGGAGGAGGAGGAGGACCCCCTCCCCCTCCTACTCATAGTAGTGTCGGTGGGTGCCGGCGGGAGGGCTTCTGAGAAGCCCCGCCGCCTTTCTGCGCAGGCCAGCCCCCGCTGCCTGCCCCCCCCCCTGGGCGCGCCGCCGAAGCTTATCGCTCCCAGGATGATTTCCCAGAATCTGCGACCACTCGCGAGCCTTACCCCTGCTGGTCCCACCGGTGCTGGGGTATCGGATCTGCACGAACGATATGGACACGAAAAGAATGGGTACAATGCCCAACAGCGGATCTTGTTCATTTTGAACAGGATTCGCTGTCCGCGCCGCCGCGGCCTGTGTCCATTCGAGACAGGAGGCCGCCTGCCCAACAGCGGCCGCCGTCGGTTTGGGACAACATTTGTTGTTGGGCACTGTTCCCATTCTTTCCGTGCCTATTTCGGGCGTCCAAATCGGACACCCTGGCCAGGGCTCCCTTGGCTACAAGGCTTGACCTGCAGGCGTAGGCTTCACGCGCGGTTGCCTGCCAGCAGCTGCCCCCGGGTCGCCGGGCCCCACCCCCGCCAACCCGCGCCCGCACACCTGGGAGATGCAACCGGCACACGGCACCGGCACCACCAGGAGAATCAGAACGGCCCTCGTGAGACGAGCTCTGCCCAAAGCAAAAACGATACCTCCTCCTCCTCCTCCTCCTCCTCCTCCACCACGGCCCGCTCCCTCTGGCACGGCGCCCTGGACAGGTACTCCAGCCCGCCGAAGCACGGTGCCGAGCTGGCCGCGCCAGCCCGTGGGGGAGCGAGGGGAGGCTGGATATGTGCCAGTGGGTCCCTAGCAAAGGAGGTCTCGGACACGTGCGCAACAGTTCGTGCAATCGTTCGTGCGGGATACTCACGCCGTACAATATCAGCACGTGGCTGCCGCGCGCCATGCGACACAGGATGAACTACTGCATTTGTTTTGCCGACCCCATTGCGAAAGACCTCACAGTGGGGGCTCTTGCCAAGAAACACCTTGCTTGCCTCCAGGGCTCCAGGGTGCCCTGCGTGTCTTGGGTTTCGACGGTTTTGCCGTGGAGGGCGTGACGTTCCCACACCAACAATCAATGGACGTCCTGGGGTATCTGGCTTGGGTTTCTTGTGGAAGGTTTCTTGTGGACTGGCCTCCACTGCAGTTCGTGCAATCTTTCGTGCGGGATACGCACGCCGTACAGTATCAGCACGTGGCTGTCACGCGGCATGCGCCACAGGATGCACTACTGCATTTGTTTCGGCGACCCCATTGCGAAACACACCAGTTGCCCGAAACTAATGAGATAAGAAGGGGTCGCCATGGTAACAACCCAGACACGCCCGCGCCGTGAATGAATTACGTCGAAGGGTGGCATCTTGGGGGTCTATTGGGCCTCTCGGGTTATTCTTGGGGGTTTCTTGGAGCCTCTTGGGGGCCTCTTGGGTGCATCTTGGCATCCCTGGCTTGTCGAGGCCAGTCCATGCCCTCGCATGGTTGTGTCATTTATCGCAGACGCCTCGTATCCCAAACAGAGAGACGAACATCGCATAACACATGTTCGTTGTCAAGCTTCGGACATTCGTGATACGCGCGAACGACGGGAGAAACCATGGTGACGCATGATGTGTGTGTTCCGCTTCTTGGGGTTCTCGAGCGTCGTCTAGCATCTGGGCGCCGTGGGCCGTTCGCATCGCAGCACAGCGCACGCCTGCAGTCCTGCGCGGGGCGTGCCGCGCGCTCTTTTTTTTCGTTCGTTGTGTGCACTATCTGCGCCGGCCCTGCGTGATCACAGCCTCTTGTCGGGGGCGGAAAAGAGGGGGGTGATGACTAGGGGGGGTGGATATCATGGCGGGGGCCGTAATATCTTCCCAGATTTCATGGCGCCTCTCCTTGTTTCATTACGTCCCTGGCCCCCCCGCTGGGCCGCGCACATGCCGCCGGCCATGGTTTGCCTCCCCCCTGTTGGACACCCCCCTCTTGGCCGCTCCCGATCTTGGTGGCCGTGCCCGTGCGTGCGTGGGTGGCGCACATCAAACTCCGCACCCGTACACGCCAGGCGTTGAAAGCAGGCATGTTGGATTCCCAGATCGCTGCTGCTTCAAGAACGGACGTGCTTCAGCTCTGTCTTTTTGTTATTCGGGGGGGCCTGAACCCAATCCAGTGGATCTGCCTTCCTGCTTCATGTTTTGGCCCACTTCTTTCGACCGACGTGCTTCAAGAATGGACGTGCTATAGGTCTGTTTTGTTGTTATTCGGGGGGGCCTGAACCCAATCCATTTGATCCGCGTCCCTGCTTTGTGTTTTGACCTACTTCTTCCGACCGACGCGTACGTCTCTGCTGGTCGGGCGTCCGTCGCTCGGCTGTCTCCGAGAGAGTCGGCCAGCACTGGTCCTTTTCCACGAGCCGCCAGCCTCGGGGTGTCATCCGTGCGTGCGCGCTGCCCCAGGTCATGCACATCCTCGGGACCGAGGCCCAGTACGCCAAGTGGCAGCAGGAGCCGAAGAGAGTGAGAGAGAGAGAGATAGAGAGGAAGGGAGGAAGAGAGCAGCGTGAGATATAGAGGAAGTGCAACACATGCACGTGAGAGGCAGATGGAGTACGTGAGTGTCAGAGGGAGAGAGAGAGAGAGAGAGATCGATAACAAATCTGTACTCACACATGCACTAATTGCTGTACGTACATACGCATACATGAATATGGAGGGAGGGACAGAGATATCACACACACACACACGTGAACATACAGGTGTGCACACATAAGACGGAGAGGGAGAAACTACATGCCGATCCCCTTACACATTTATATTCACGCACGTGTATATTTCCATATGATTATTACTGGACAAGGCAACATATCGACACTTCAGAGCTACTTGCATACTTCCCACAGGGGGTCGAAATATATGGGTCGGATAATTGAGTAGCGCGGCCGATGCATCGCCGATGCGATTCGATGTGGAGGTTGATCTTCATCTTGTTGACGGTCCCGATTCGTCGCCGTCGACGCCGCTGCATCGCCGACCCCATTAGCTCGCGGGGCCGACGACGACGACGAAGATACGACGACGATGCGACTAGACGACGGCCCCGATGCACCGCCGACGTCGCCGATGCATCGCTAAGCCCATCTGCTTGGACCCGTTTGAGAGGCCTCCCGGGTCCTCCCTTCACAAGGAAGGGCGGTGGCGAGAGGTTCCCCTCGTACGCCTGCGCGACGTCTTGGGGGTTCGCTCTTGGTTCTGCCAGTGGCGGTGGCCCCGTTCTTCCACGGTAAACCCGTTTCCCCATAAGTCGTGTTGCGTAGAGTTTTTGGCCACAGTTGGCGTGAGTAGAGCAATTCCTTTTAACTCCCCGCGCATTGCTCATTATGCCTTGCTATTTCTCCTCCTCCTCCTCCTCCTCCGCGTCCTCCCCCTCCTCCTCCTCCTCCTCCTCCTCCTCCTCCTCCTCCTCCTTATTCTTCTCCTTCTCCCCCTCCTTGGCCTCTTCCTCCTCCGCCCCTGATCTCTGATGGGGGAACGGATACCGAGACCGTTACCGTTTCCTGGTGTTCGTCTTCTTTGACCTCCTGGTAGGCCATCGCCACGGCTGGAGTCGCCTCGAGATTCTGGTCAGAACGCATCCTGGGAGAGGTTCGGGGAGTAGCGGTATCGGCATCTTCTGGTTTCCCCAGGAAGGGTCTCCTGGAGTCTCACTGGGGCCTTGGGTGGAGCTCCCCAGGGTCCATGGAGCGTATGATGGGTGTGCCGTGATGGGCGTGGGAGAATCATGCGAACCTCGCCATTCGGGCCCCAGGGGGAGCCCCTCATGGAAGCGCCCATCGTGTGAGGGGTGTGCCGACGTGGCCGTACGGAGGGCAGAGGCAGGGAGGGGGAGGGGGTAGGAGCGAGGGGCAGCGGGAGATGGGACGCGGTGCGCCATCTTTGCAGAACGAGGGCCCGACACCACAGGATGGTTGGGGAAACGATCTGGGATGAGACACCGGCCCTTTTGGAAAGGGTCGGGGAGGGAGGGGGAGTGGAGGGGGGGGGGGAGGGAGGGAGAGGGGGAGGGAGGCAGGGAGCGAGGGAGGGAGGGAGGGAGGAGTAGGAGGAGAGAAAGAAGGACACCGCCGCCAGCCAATTCTCGAGCCCCTCGGGGGACTGGGGGCGGCGCAGGGCTTCAGCGAGCCGCTGCCCACTTCCCTGCCTCCCCTCCCCTCCATCCCCTCTCCCCCCCCTCCCTCCTCTTCCCACTCCTCTCCCCCCCTCCCTCCCCCTCCCTCCTGCCCCCTGCTCGTCGACCACTGGGGTCCTCGAACTCTCGTCCGCTTCTCATCCCCCTGGCCCCCCCCTCTTCTCTTTCCCCACTGCCCGCGCTCCTTGCTCCGAGGAGCTGGAGGGCATGGCCAAACGCATCCTGGAGGTCAGGGACCTGCTGCGGAAGGGCCTCGAGGCAGGATCGGGATCAGGATCAGGAGGATATTGATGATGATGGTGATGATGATGATGATGATGGTGATGTTGATGATGATGATGATTATGATGCTGATCATGATCATAATCATGATGATGACGCTGGTCATGATGATGGTGATGATGATGAAGATGAGGATGATAAGGCCGATGATGATATGCGGCTGATGATGATGTGTGTGATGATGATGAGACTGCTGCTACTGCTGCTGCTAGTGCAAATGCTGATGGTGCTGGTGATGATGGTGGTGATGATGGTGGTTGTGCTGGTGGTGATGAGGACGATGAAGCTGATGATGAGGATGATGATGATGGTGATGATGATGGTGATGATGATGATGATGATGATGGCGATGCTGACGATGACTATGCTGCTGATGATGAGGAATACCATGATGATGATACTGATGCTGATACTGATTATGTTGATGATGTTGATGCTGCTGCTGATGAAGATGATGATGAACCTGATGATGAAGGTAGCAATTCAGATTATTGTAATGCTGCTCACGCTGATGCCTATGATGATGTTGATGATGATGATGATCATTATCATGATGTCAATGATGACGATGGTATTGATGATGATACTGCTGATTATTCTGATTATGATGGTAGTGACGATGATGATGACGCTGGTAAAGATGATGATGACCATGCTGATGGTGTTGATGATGGTGTTATGGTGATGCTCGTGAAGATGAGGGTGATGAGGATGATGTATTTTCTGAGCATGTGGATGGTGACTACGATAATGATGTTGGTGCTTATCACTGTGATGCTGTTACTGCTGATAATGACGCTGATGATCGACAATGCAGACGATGATGACGATGCTGCTTGATGATGATGATGATGGCCGTTTTGGTGGTGGTGGTGGCAGTGGTGGTTGGGATGATGATGAAGATGCGGATGTTCATGACGACAATGAGGGTAATTGTGCACATGATGGTGACGCTGATGGTAATGATTATGACGATGCACGTAACGATGACGATCATGCGGGTGATGATGATGCTAATGGTGCTCATGCTGTTGATGATGTTGTTGATTGTGTTATGGCACTTAGGGCGACGTCGGCGATGCTGATGATGCTGATGATGATAATGATGACGATGACGACGATTATGATGATTACGATGCTGATGATTAAGATGCTGATGCTGCTGATGATGATGCCGTCATGGGAATGTCGTTGTTGATGATGGGGATCACGACAACGACGATGCTGATGGTGCTGATGATGATGAACAGTGTGATGCTGAGGATTTGGATTATTCTTGGTTTGACGATGGGGATGCAGATGTCAGAGGATGTCATGCCGATGACGATGGTGATGGTACTGGTGAGCATGATGATGCTGATGATGATGCTGATGGGGATGATGGTGAGTCTGATGCTGCTGATGATGCGGCTGATGCTGTTGCTGCTGCTGATGATGATGATGATGATAGGGATCGTGCTTGTGATGATTATGGTGCTGCTGATGATGCAAGTGTGGAGGATGTTGGTTATGATGTTGATGGCCATGTCGATGGTGATGCTGATGATGTTGTTGTCGTTGCTGATGACGCTGATGATGTTGCTGCTGATGATAATGGGTTGGAGGAGGATGAGGACAAAACGGAGGAGGGGGAGGAGGAGGGCGGGGACGCGGCAGGATGAGGAGGAGGAGGAGGAGGAGGAGGAGGAGGGCGAGGAGGAAGAGGAGGAGGAAGAGGAGGAGGAAAAGGAGGAGGAGGAGTAGGTGACGGCACGCAGTGCATGGACATGTTGATTGCAATGATGATGGCGATGAGGAGGAGGAGGAGGAGGAGGAGGTGGATGAGTATGATGATGCTGATGCTGATGACGATGATGATGATGATGCTGATGATGATGCTGATGATGATGATGATGCTGATGATGATGATGATGATGATGCTGATGCTGCTGCTGCTGCTGCTGCTGCTGATGATGATGATGATGATGATGATGATGATGATGATGATGATGATGATGATGGGGGTGATGGGGGTGATGTTGATGCTAATGATGCTGCTGATGATGATGATGATGATGATGATGTTGTTTATGAGTTTATAGTCTTACGCCACATCCCCCGACCCCCTGAGTATAGATTGTGTCCTCTGGTTATTGGGGTCGTTCAGGGTGATGCTGATGCAGATGAAAGCGGCGGGCGGGTTCTGCGTTGTTTTGGGGGCACATCGGGCCGCCTGGAGGCCGTCTTGGGCGCCTTGGGCAGCAATTCGGGGCCTTCCTGGACTTCCTCGTCCTGGCTCGGCCTCGGATGCATCGCTCCGCGTGCACGTGCAGTCAAGCGCTGAACTATAGGAGGAGGAGGAGGAGGAGGAGGAGGAGGAGGAGGAGGAGGAGGTGGACGAGGACGAGGACGAGGAGGAGGAGGAGGAGGAGGAGGAGGAGGAGGAGGAGGAGGAGGAGGAGGAGGAGGAGGGGGGGAGGAGGAGGCGGAGGGGGAGGATGCATCGCTCCGCGTGCACGTGCAGTCAAGCGCCGAACTGCTGGAGGAGTCCTTGCTCCGCCAGAGGGGGCTCTGCCTGTGGAGGCCGCTCCTCGGACCTCTCGGGTTGGGGAGCCTCCTCGTGGCCGGGGAGCGCCGCTGCCGGGAGAGGTCCTGCCGTTCCTCACGCCCAGACGTCTCGGAGGTGGATGCACCTCCTACCCTGACACGTCGATTATCAGAGCCCCACATCATCAGGGGTAACTCGGGTCAGGGCTAACTCGGGTTCGTGTTTCGGGAATCCGAACCCGAGTTACCCCGGACCCGAGTTACCCCGGATAACTCGGGCGTCCAGAGCCCCACATCATCAGCGGTAATTCGGGTCAGGGCTAACTCGGGTTCGTTTCTCGGGAATCCAAACCCGAGTTACCCCGGACCCGAGTTACCCCGGATAATTCGGGCGCCCAACTCCTACCCTGACACGTCGATTAAGGAATTGGCCGTTTTCGGTTCGCGAGAGGGCGTCGCGGCCGTCATTTCTGCGGGTCCAGGTCCGTCGGTTTCGGTCCTAGGCCGTCTTCACTGAGGGGAGGTTTGCTAAAGGGAGGTTTGTCCACCGCAGAACATCCGCTGCCCTGGTTTGTTGTCAAGGCCCGGCTCCCGAAGTTCGAAGCCTGTCTCCAGCGCTGGCTGCCAGTGAGCGTTTTGTTATTCATTGTTTTGCCGATCGGAGCGGGCCCCCACCCCCCCCCTCTCACCCCACCATGGAGTAGATCATGGCTGTTTTTGGCGCCCGTTTGGAGCAGGTGGAACCTCCCCCGCAATGGACGCACTGTTCCAAACGGCCGCACTGGGCAGAGGTCTGGAGCCAGACCCCCCCGCCTCCCCCCTATTCCGCCCAGAGTCGAAACGCCGTTAAAAAAAACGCTCACTATTCATCCCGAGTCGTTGATTCACGGTCGGGGCCCAGCGATGGCCCCTGAAGAGAAGGTCGTCTTGTTTTTTGGTTGCCTCAACGTGGGAGGCTTGTCGTGCCGTGACATCCGATCTCACTAACCCGCCGGGTCGGTGTTGGAGGTCGCCGCGGCGATCACAAGGGTGGACTACGAACGCAAGGGCAGACTGCGAGCGCTACAGAGACGCGGCGTCAGTTGGATGTCCAGCTACGTGGCCATTACGCGCTTGCGAAGGTGAGGGGGCCTATTAATTGCCAGGCCTTCCGGCAGGAATCCTTACAACGAAGGAGAGATAGCGGGTGCGGACGAGCTGTTGCAGCTCCTCCGAGAGGAGGATGTGGCTAGGGAAGAATGGGAGGCGAAGCTGACGCCACGAGACGAGTGCGATCGGTTGTTGACGGAAGCTGCTGGCCGAAGCATTCACGAAGTACGAGTTCCAGCGGAAGGACATGCTGGCGTTCTGCAAAGAGTGCGCGGCGGATATGACAAACTGCGTGGGAAATCGTACAACACGTGCATACGTAGGCAACCGAAGCGGGCGGTGACAAACCGACGACGCACGATGGAAGCTGGGGCGGAGAGGGAGCGGGCTACGAGGAGGAACCGAATCACATTTGGGCCCTGTACCGCGAGACTTGCAGCCACGCCTGAGTGAAACAGAAGTCGCGCAGTGGCAGCGCGAAGTTGGACGGAGTGGTGTTCGAGCGGAAAGTGCCTCGCGGCGTTGGAAGCGAAGGCGGTGTTGTCGGAGCAAGGTCAGGTCGAGGCTGCGCGGCGGAGCGCGACGCGTCCACGCGCGAGGGCAGCGGTCGCGCAAGCGGAAGGCAGATGCGGAGGCAGAGCCGCGGACCTGTATCGCGCCAGGGTCTTGGCGTCGCTCGGACGTGTGCATTTTTTCTCGGCGTGGACCATTCAGGAACATTGTCGATCATTTGGAGAAAAAACCTCGCACGAAATCGAAAAATGCACGGGGAATGGACGTCCGAACGATGGCGAGGGGTACGGGACAACCGTTTGGAACGCGAGGCACTTTGAACTCCGAGCAGGGTGGAAGAGCAACGGAGGAGGAGAAGCAACAGACATGGTGCGCAAGGACTGCGACGCGCGTGGCGCAGATGTCAAAAGGAGTGGCCGCGCTGCGGCGAAGCCATCGGCGTGTGAACTCACATGCGCGGAGTGCGGGGGGAGGTGTCCCGGAGCCAGGTCACCAGAAGAAGGGCCACGTTGTCGGGGGTGGACAGACCTCCTACCGTGACGCGTCGATTCGTGAATTGTCCGTTTTCGGTTCTCGAGAGGGCGCCGCGGCCGTCATTTCCAGGCTTGCGCCCGCCAGGTTTGGGCCCGAGGTCGTTTTCACTAAACCACGTTTTGCTAAAGGGAGGTCTGTCCATCCCCGAAGTGGAACGCCATCGAACAAGAGGAGATTCAACGGTTCTCAGGATTACCGTGCGCAGTTGGCAAGCGTAGCCTTGCAACGGTGCGTGCAAGACGCACTTGCCGAAGTCGGCGTTTTCCGTGGGGCGTGGGAACGCTGTGCGCGCAAAAAAGAGCGGGCCCTCAAGTGCAGCTTTGTGGATGAAAGAGGAGGATGAAGATAATGTGGGAGGAGGAAGAGGTGGAGGAGGAGGAGGAGGAGAGAACTAGGAGGAGAGAACGAGGAGGAGGAGGACGAGGGAGAAAACGGGGAGGAAGAGGAAGAAGACAAGGAAGAGGAGGATAGGGAGGAGGAGGAGGAGGAGGAGGAGGAGGAGCTCAACGAGGAGGAGGAGGAGGAGGAGGAGGAATAGGACGAGGAGGAGAATTAGGAGGAAGAGGACGAGGACGAGGACGAGGACCAGCAGGAGGAGGAAGATGAAAGGAGGAGGAGGAGGAGGAGGAAGAGGAAATGGAGGGGGAGGAGGCGGAGGAGGAGGAGCAGGAGGAGGAGGAAGAGCAGTGGGAGGTCCGTATTCAAGCCACCTCGGCTCAAACGATATTGGCGCCGGGCCAATTTCGCATCGCTTCTCCGCCATGTCTTGGCAAACGGAGGGAACCTCGAAGAGCAAGAAGGGGAAGGGCAAGGAATTGGGCGGGTGTCAGTCGCCGCCGCCAGCGGCTACCTCTCCCCAGAAGTCGGAGCCGAGTCAGAGCCAGTCATGGAAATGCGAGTGCTGCTTGGTTACCAATCATATGAGGCTGAGGTGTTTTAGAATGTGCGGCTCTCATTGGCAAGCCAAAGTTCCACCGCCGCCGCCGCGCAAACAGGGTGTCGTCATGGGAGTCCAGGGAAGCGCTGAAGTCGGTCCACCATGGCAGCAGCAATGGCTTGAGTTAGGCCAACAGATCTTCCAGTGCTAAAGCATATTCAACGCGTTGCCGAAGAAGGTTGACGAGGGAGCAGAGCAGGTAGACTCTCACCTGCGAAGCTCAAGATGGAGGACGCCCTAAACGCACTCCGCCAGGAGCGCGACAGCCGCAAGACACCCCAGCAGTTCCAGCAGGCGGCCAACAAAAAATGCAACAGCAGTCTACCTATGTTCAAGCACGATCTTGCGATCACCCAGTGCAGGGACAAGGTCGAGTACTTGCGCCATCAGATCAGCGAGCAGGTGGTCCTCATCCGCTCGGATGAGGCGGCCTTCAAGGAGTGTCAGGCCAAGATCGCGGAGCAGGCTATGGCGATGAAGCTGCCGGCGTCCGCGGAGCAGCCTGCAGGAGCCACTCAGGCTCCAGCGGGCCCGTCGGACACAGGTGGTTCGCCGCGAGAAGCCTCCCCGTCGGAGGCCACGATGCCCATGTCCCCGGTCGAGGCCCTTGTCGCCGCCTATCCAGCAGGTGCAGGAGCACGTGGCAGCATCAGCAGCGGGCGCGGCCCCGTCGGCGGAGCCACAGGCAGGAGCTGCGCCCGTGTCCAGACCAGAGGTTCGGGCAGCAGGCCCAACAGCACCCGCAGTAGCCGCGGCGGCAGGTGGCCACGGCCATGGCCCTGCAGCTCGGGCCACAGCAAAGGGGAGCCGCTCACGGGGCATCGGAGACGGCAAGGGCGACGCAAAGGGCGACGGCGAGGGCAGAAGCCGAAGCCCTCCCCAGCCGTCACCCCGGCGATGATTGGATGGGGCCGGCCCCGAAGTTCCAGTTTAAGAAGAGGCCTCCCCTCAACAGGCAGGCCTCGCGCTCCTCGCGATCGACGGCTCGGGCGGGGGTATCGGCCAAGAAGCTCACCAAAGCCAGCAAGTCTCACATCAGTGCTGTTCAGGGGAACGCGCTCACGCCAGAGCGCGTCATTGAAGTGAAGCATGCTTTAGCGAAGCATGGATGGCTGTCGTGTTCAACGGAACGCCTCGCGCGGTTTCTGATTTTGCTGATGATGAGGGCGATCGGATGATGATGATGATTATTATGATGATGATGCTGATGATGATGATGACGATGAGGATGATGATGATGAGGATGAGGATGAGGATGAGGATGATGCTGATGCTGATGATGAGGAGGAGGAGGTGGATGAGTATGGTGGTGAATGTGATGGCGGTGGTGTTGTTGATTGCGATCCCGATGGTGGTGTTCAGGACGATCATAGTGATGGTGATGTTGATGGAGATGGTGATTGTGATGGTGGCGGTGGTGATGGCGATGCTGAAGGCGATGGTGCTTATATTGATAATGCCAGTGCGCATGATGATACTGATGATGATGGTGATGATGATGATGCTGCTGATGATGATGAAGATGATGAGGACGACGGTGATGATGATGATGATGATGATGATGATGATGCTGATGATGATGATGCTGATGATGATGATGATGATGATGAGGATGAGGATGATGGTGATGGTGATGGTGATGGTGATGGTGATGGTGATTGTGATGGTGATGATGGATACTGGTACTGATGATAGACGCTGGTGATGATGGTGGTGGTGCTGACGGTACGGTGGTGGTGGTGGAGGTGGTGATTTAGGTGATGATCAAGATGATGAGGAGGGTGAGGATGATAATGATGAAGGGCAGGGGATGAGGAGGAGGAGGAGGAGGAGGAGGAGGAGGAGGAGGAGGAGGAATTGGAGGAGGAGGAGGAGGAGGAGGAGGAGGAGAACGAGGACGAGGAGGAGGGCCGGCGAGGGCTCCCGACGGCCGGCGAGGGCCCCCGAGGGCCCCGCGCGGCGCGCGCGCAAAGCGCGACGACGACGTCGACGGCGTCGGCGAACGGCGGCGATTCCGAAATGCGGGACGCCGCCAGGCGAAGGGAACGCCCGGCACCTGGAACCACATCACCGACCAGATCGGGATGTTTTCTTTCACCGGCCTGTCGCAGGCGCCCGCGGGGGAAGGTCAGAGAGCGACCCCAGGCCCCCGGTGAACGGAAGAGTCGAGGCGGCGGGTTTTCGCCACGTGTAGGTCTCAGGGGCCAGTTTCGGGTATCTTGGCCAACGAACGGGCAAGGTTCCCGCCTCTAGGCGGCCCGCATCCTCTCTGCGAGCACCACCATCGGTTTCCCCAGGGTATGAAAGAGCGGAGCGAGTAGGGACGATGGGGGATGGAGGAAAGGGGAGGAAGAAGGAGGGAGGGCAGGGCAGGATAAAGAGAAACAGAGGATGGAAGAGAGGGGAGGAGGAACGGGGCGGAGGATGGAGGTGGGGAGGAGATGGGTTGGGAGGGGAGAAGGAGGAGCAGGAGAGAGGACGCACGGGGCGGATGGCAGACAGGGGGGGTTGAGGAAGAAGGACGAGCATAAGAGGGGCGGGGGGAAGGAGGAAGAGGACAAGGGGGGAGTGGACGAGGACGACGAAGAGGAGGCGCAGCAGGAGGGAAGGGAAGACCAGCAGGCGGAAGAAGATGCGAGAAGCAGGGGAAGGGCGAGGCGGGGAAAGGGGGGAGGATTGAGGAGGAGGGGGTGGGGAAGGCGAAGTGGTGGGAGATGAAGGAGCAAGGGCGATGCAGACTCCTCCATGTCTGCCTCCCTGAATTTTCCTCTCGCGCTGCGCCTTCGCACCGCCAGCTCTCCCGCGGGGGGCGCGAGGGAAGATGCTCGCGCTTCGCGAGCGGGGCGGGAGAGGTGCCCTCTCCATGGGCGCCGCGCGGGAGGGCGAGTACAGTGGGGGCCCATGCCAAGGAACACCCTGCTTGCCTCCAGGGTGCCCTGGGTTGCTTGGGTTTCGGTGGTTTTGCTGCGGATAGCGTAGCGTTCCCACACCGAAAATCAATGGACGTCCTGGGGTCTCAGGGTTGGGTTTCTTGTGGAAGGTATCTTGTAGACTGGCCCCCACTGTACAGCAGCTCCACGCCTAGAGCCCCGACCTCGTCGACTAATGCGTCGCCTGAGCCGACGGCGGCTGCGGCGGCGACGGCGACCACAGAGGATCTTGTCGTCGTTGGCGTTGCGATCAGCAGCCTACCGCCGAGGGGCCGAATGCGCGAGGGCGCGAAAGCCACAGGCGCTCCGCGTTTCGCGCGGAGCGAAGAGCGAGGACATCTCGTCGCAAGGGGAACGCGTTGTATCCCTACATCGCAAACAGTCTTGACCACCACAAAGAATTTCGAGCACCAAGAGAGTACCGAAACTTGAGGGTGTTCACGTGTCGGGCCTTGGGAGGCGATATTAGCTCGACACTGCTTCGATACTTTTTGTTGGTGCTCGAACTTAGTTCTGGGATGCCGTCCGTGAGCACGATGGGAGCAACAGACAACCATGTGGGCGGGAGTCCCTGCCACCGTTGTTCTAGATGGGAGCCCCGCGGCGGGTCATTCGCGGGGGGCGGCCCGGGCCGCACACGGGGCGCGACACGGTTGGAGCAGGGAGCCGACACATGGTTTGATTCGCTAAGAGAGATGTATGAATCCTGCTGAGAAGTTCTCAGCACGGAGCCGTGGTGAGGATGAAGATGAATATGGAGATGCATAGGATGATGACGAGGGTGACGCCGGCGTTGATGTTGAGCAGTTGGCTGATGTTGCGAATGATCACGGAGATGTTGGTGCGGCTGGTGTTGATTGTGATGTTGGTGGTTGATGCTGGAGATGATGATGGTGCTGATGACGATGATGATCACGATGCTGATGATGACGACGATGCTGCTGATGATGATGTTGATGATGGTTATGGTGGTGGTGACGGTATTGATGATGGTTGTTATGATGTTGATGGTGTTGATGGTTGATGGCCATGGCGATGAAGATGGTGATGATGCCGATGATGATGCTCAGCATGATGACGATGATGATGATGCTGATGCTGATGATGATGATGATGTCGATGCTGATGTTGAAGCTGGCGATAGCGATGGCGATGTTGGCGATGCTGCTCATGATCATGCTGAATGTTGTTGTTTTGCTGTTGCTAGTGATTATATGACGATCATGTTGATGCTGCTGATGCTGATAGTGGTGATGAGGATTATGTGTATGATGGTGATGGGCTATGGGGATAAGGATGCTGATGTGGATGAGGATCATGCTGGTAATGATGATGCTGCTGCTGCTGATGATGATGATGATGATGATGATGATGATGATAATGATGGTGATGATGATAATGATGATGATGATGATGATGATGATGAGGATGAGTACGATATTGCTGATGATGCTGCTGATGACGAGGGTGATGATAGTGACGATGATGATCATGGTAACGCTGCGGCTGATGATGATGATGCTGATGATGATGGTGGTGGTGGTGACGATTCTGATGATGCTGATGACGATGATGGTGATGATGATGATGCTGATGCTGTTTATGATGATGGTGATGACGAGGGGTAGGGGAGGAGATGCAGGAGGAGGAGGAGGAGGGCCCTCACAGGTGACACCCATCCGTCTGCATTGGTTCATCAGATGGAACTCGTTTGGGCGGTCTTTGGTTTGTCTGGGCTCCCCTGTGGCAGTTCTTGAGGGTCTCTTTGAGCCCTCTTGGGACGTCTTGGGGCCCTCTTACGCCGTCTTGGGGCTCTCTTGGGGAGGCCTCCAGAGGGGGGGCGGTGCATGCAGGGAACGCGAGTAACGGAAGGGGGTGCACTCGTCTACGCTTCAATGTGCACCAGTCACGGTGGCGGATCGTTCTTTCTGTTCGCATGCTTTCGGTTCTTTGTTCCATTAAAGGGCAGGGAGGCCTCCGCATCGTCAGTTCCTGGGCGGCGCATCGCAATCCACAGACGTGGTAAGTTGATGCAGTCCATCATGGGGGAAACCAGTATTTTGTGTACGCGGTCAGTTCTTGTTCGGCCACCACTCTGTATTGGCAGGACCATGCGGCGGAGCATCGCTGCGAACTTGTTGTGCAAGTCGTCGTCGCCGTCTTGATCGACGATCTCTGCGGCTGCGGCGGTGGCGACGCCAGCGAGGGAGTACCGGGCGGGTCGAACGTCCTCCCTTCTTGTGGGAATATTTCAGGGTTTTTTGGCTTCGATTGCCATGCCCGTTGCCGCGACATCGAACGACTTATATTAGAGTGTAGCTCCCAGTAGGTCCGATTCAGCATGGGCGCTTCGCGCTGAGTCTGGCGTACTGCCTTGAATCCGGCTTGATCCTTTTCATCCGGTTCAGTCCGGCTTAATCCCGGGCTCGTTTCTGTAGCTGGCCACCGTGCTTATGCATGCCTCCCAGGGGCTGCATCCCAACATATGAAGTCGAGAGCCTGCGGGGATCGTCGAGAAATGTGCTCAGCCCCAGTCAAGGTTGAGAGGTTCTCGCGGGGGCAGGGGGCAGCGCACACGTCGTCAATGCAGGGACTTGCCGCCTTCCGGCCCTGCACAGTCAGGGTGGTCCATACATGTTTTGCCCGCTCCGCTTTTTGTCGGGACTCCCCATGTGCCCCTCGGTGCTTCTGTGCGCCGTGCTGCCCTCGGAAGGGTCTCGTGTCCTGCCAGCAGATATCCTCCGATTGGGGGTGATTGAGGAGGAGGAGGAGGAAAAGGAGGAGGAGGAGGAGGAGGACGAGGCTGCGGAGGCTGCGGAGGAGGCGGGAGTAGGAGGAGGGGGCGGGAGGAGAAAGAGGAGGAATCTCGGAATTTGGGGCCTCCTGCTGGGCCCTCGTCGTCACCACTGGATTCGCTTCAAATTCCGTGTCAGAATGCGCCCCAGTATAGGTCTGGAGTAGATTCCGAAGGAGGGGGAGGGGGAGGGGGAGGAGGAGGAGGAGGAGGAGGAGGAGGAGGAGGAGGAGGAGGAGGAGGAGGAGGAGGAGGAGGAGGAGGAGGAGGAGGAGGAGGAGCAGCAAAAGCAGCAGGAGCAACAGGAGCAGCAGGAGAAGGAGGAGGAGGAGGAGGAGGGGGATCAGGAAGGAGATTGCGTGATGCGGTTCTTGACGGTTTTCTGTTGCATTCGAAGTTTTGTCTTTCGAGGTCTTCGGAGGGGGAGCAGTCGGTTCTCTTGGTTCTCCTCATTCCCCTCCCCTCATCCCTCCGATTCCACCCCCCTTCCCCATGTTTGGGAGGATGTGATGGCACTCGGGGCGCAGGTAAAGCGGATCTTCGTACACGGGGTCAGCAAAGCCCATCCGATCCCATCTGGTTATGTTTTCGGTTTTGGAAGCCACGTGGATCCGTTTCCCCCTCCCCTCCTTCCATTGATCCTGGTCTGGAAGTTACCGTGCGGCAGACCGGGGTTCTCGACATGGTCTCGGCTGACCCAGGGTCAGCAGGTTCCCGAATCGCCGCGCGACGATTCCATCGTAGTGCCAGCAGTCGTTTGGCATGCACCATGAGTGCTTTTGCTGCGCATTAGGACCATGTGCTCAAAGTCGAGATTTCCAGCGCGTCTACGTATAACGGGGGGCAATTGTTGTATCCGCCAAGCAGCGCACGGAAGTAGTCGATACGATTGGTTTGGCGTTTCCGCATCAGGGGTCCTCTCTTCCCTCTCCTCTTCCTCCGCCTCATTGGTGTCGGTCCTGTGCGGCTTTCGTCCGCCTCTCCCCGTGCCCTGCGGGGTGATCGCCTCCATTCTCCACGCTGCGCTGCGAACAAATTTGGGGCTCGCATCCCGCGCCTACCCGATCTTGAAGAAGCGTCGGTGGTGTCCTACTTTAGCCGCGACTAGACGGGGGGGGGCCCGACCTGGTGTACACTGACGAGCTTCGCGCTTTTTGCTTCTGCCCGCTTGTTTCTTTACGGCCCATGTTGTAGCCATCACTCGGAAATGCACCCCTCTTCGAGGGTAGCACTAGTGGGGCATGACCAAGATGCCGCGGGATCTTGTCGATGCCGATCCTGGTCCATGCCGGCCGCCGCCGATTCGTGGGGATGATCCACGACACGACGCTGACCAAGATCGACGGTGACCAAGATCGGCAGGCGTTTCCTCGCTCAGTCGTGGTCATGGTCTCCGTTGTCTTGCCTCTGATCTCTTCATCTTCTTCTTCCTCCTATCCAGCGAGCATGCGCTCTCTGCGGAGCATCGCGCGCCAGGCCCAGTGCGAGCGCCTGATCAGCCAGCACCACATCTACCTCCTCAAGTCCGGGCGCATCTCCCTGGCTGGCCTCAACAAGGGCAACATCCAGTACATGGCGGCCGCGGGGGGCCCCCCACTGCCGCAGCCCCTCGCTCCTCTTGGGACCCGGGAGGGGAGGTTCGTGGGCGAACATCGTACACGCCGGTCGTTGAAAGTAGGAATGTTTGGATCACCAGGTCCCAATCTCCTTTTAGCGCCTTCCTACTTCAAGAATCGACATGCTTTTGCTGTGTTTTGTTATTATCTGGGAGATCCTGGACCCAATCTACTATATCCGCCTTCCTACTTCATGTTTCTACCTACTTCTTCCGACCGACGTGTACCCGTGTCCGCGGCCTCGCGGGCCGGGACCTTGGGCCGCGAACCTTCAGACACGGGCCGTCTCTTCGCGGATGCCCCTCGCGGAACAAATCCGTGCGACCGCGCACCCGCGGGATCGCGCACCGCAAGGGCGCGGATACGGATATGTTCACCGCTCGTGCGAGGTTTGGGTCTGGGCTCCTTCGTGATCTTGTCTCGCGTCTTGCGGTGTGCAGTCTCCAGCAGGCCCAGTTCCCTCGTCTGGGCATCTTGGGTAGCCCCGCGCATGCCCGGGGCCAGGGACGGGAGCGATGTTGGGCGCTTTGTTGGGGGAGGGTGGCCGTGTGCAGGAGATGCTGTTGATCGGCGGCGAGCCCCGTGGGTAGGGAGAGTGGGGCAGGCCTCTGCAGAAGGCCCGGGCTTCTCGCAAGCCCTCGCGCCTCCCGAGAAGCCGTCTGTGTCTGTGTGCGTGTGCGGAGAAGGCTTAGAATTACCAGCCTCGAGCGTATCCCTATCCCTAAGATTGACACCGCCAAATGGGCGGTGACAATATTAGGGATTCGCCCTCAAAAAAAAGGGAATCCCTAAGATTGGCATCGTGATGAGGAGGTGCCCAGCATAGGGATAGGGATATGTTTCAGGCTGGTAATAGAAGACTTCTCAGAAAGCGGGAGGGCTTCTGAGCAACCCCGCCGCCTTGTGAGATGGCCTGCCCCCTCTCACTTCCCCCCCTGGGCTCGCCGCCGAGTTCACCCGTGGCGGAGGCAGGTGGGATCTGGGGAGGGGTGGGAATGGGCAGCAGCGGCGGCTTCCCCCTGCCCTCGGACAGCATCCCATCTGGTACGACAGGATCGCCGCCTACGCCTACAGACGCGACTATGTGGGGTCGGAAGCCTGCTGGGCTGCGCTTGGCCTAGTGTGCATGCTTCGAGACTGAGGTGCGCTGGGTGGAGTGCAGGGTCGTGTGCGATTCGATCGCCTCGAACATGACTTCCGACGGATGCATGCGCTCGGCTTCGATCGATTCGGTGCCGCGCCCCCGAGGACCTTTCCGCTCCGCCGGTGATGGAGTGCCCCCGCGGCTCGATCGATGTGCGACTGACGGCAGCCTTCGGCCAGCCCCGCCAGCCTCGTCCATGCGCGGACAAAAGGGACCTGACTCACGGATGTGCCGACACACACACACATATATATATATATATGGTCTGAGTCAAATTGTCGATACGGGAGCTCCCGAGCCATTTCAATCCGTGAGGGTATCCGAGCTCGTAGATGGGACAACACGTCCATCATTGCTACATCTCCACGCTCATACGCGAGGGTCAATGTTCTCAAGCCGTAAAGCGGCTTTCAGAAGGCCAAATGGAGGCCTTGGCGCCGCCGTCTTGAAGTTCTCTGCAACCTCTAGCTGCAGGAATGTGTTCCAGCACCCCAGCGCCGCTGGACACCTCCCAAAGCGTGCGAGAACCATTGCGTTGATGACGATATGGTAGCTATGTTTGAAGATGGCGGCGACGACTTTGATGGTGGTGATGCTGGTACTTTGGACGAACTAGATAATCTGGATGTTGAGTCTGATGATGTCGACGACGATGATGGCCACGGCGACAAACATTATGTGGTTGATGTTACCGTGGATGGCGGTGATGGCGACGTGAACGGTGACGCTGATTATTACATCTGCGTGCGATGATAGTGGCGGTGAACGTGGTGGCGATGGAGATGGCGAGGATGGTGGTTTGTGGTGATGGTGCTGCTACTGATGATGATGATGAGGAGGAGGAGGAGGAGGAGGATGAGGATGAGGATGAGGATGAGGAGGAGGAGGAGGATGAGGATGAGGATGAGGATGAGGATGAGGATGTTGATGATGACGGTGACGACTACCCTGATGATGAGCACGAGGGGTAGCAGGAGCAGACGAGGGCTCCTCTCATGGGATGCAGTTCCTGCTGGCAGGTGCCCACGGAGTCGCCACTGCCTCTTGGTAGTCCCCAGACGTGGTGGTGGCAAGACCCGGCGGTGAGTCTCGCGCGATTTGGTGTCCCCACCCTGTTTGGGGACCTGTGCGGTGCTTCGAAGATGTCCCGAGCGCTGGTGGGTCAAAACGTCACAAGACCTGGCGGTGACCCCGTGCTCCAAGACCTGGCGGTGGCTTTTTGGGGATTCCAGGTCACCACCCGATATCTCACCATCTGGTTTGGGGGCTCCCAAGCCTCGCACCCGACCTAAATCTAGCACGACTGAGGTCTAAAGATCGAGGTCGGTTCGAGGAGGGTACCCCGATGTTCTTCGCGTCTGTTTCGAAGAAGACAAAACGCCAAACGCATAAACATTTGGCGCTCAGCGCAGATTTCTTGCATACGCGCTGGGGTCCCCCTGGCGGCGCCATCGGCGCCGCCCCTGGCGCGCTCCGCGCGCAAGGGAGGGGAGTCCAGCGCAGATCCAAGACATCCGCGCGGAGCGCCACATGTTGATGTTTATGACGTGTTTGTTTCTTCTACCTGCTGGATGCTCATGTGCATCCCAGGGGAGGGCACCCTCGAGTGCTCTTCAGTTCGGGCCAGCGGAGGGTCTCGTCTTGTGGAGGGACGCTCTTCTGTTCTGGGGTCAGGTCGGGCATGTTCTCCTACAGGCGGAGTCGAACATGAAACACAGTCAAACAATGCACCCAAATCGTCAAAAAATAATCGGCCACTCGTTCGAATACTCCTCCTGTAGAGGGACATGCCCGACTTAATCCTAGGGCCGTCTGTAAGAGGGGGCTCCGCCGCGCGGATTGCTCGGCTCGGCGCCAGGGACCCTCCCGGCGGCCCCTCCTCGGCGCCGCCGACCTCCGAAGGCGTACCCATCGGTCGTTGAGAGTATTTATGTTTGGTGTCCTAGACTACAGTCTACTCTCAGCGCACTCTTGCTTCAATTATCAAGTAGCTTCACCTCTTCCTTGCTCTTGAGGGATCGGGCGGACACCCAATCTGTTTTCAGCGCCTTCCTACTTCAGTGTTCTACTTACTTCTTCCGACCGATGGGTGTGTTTCTGCCGTGTCTTCTTTTCTCCAGGGAGGGCACGGCCGCGAGGCACTGTCGATGCGATCGATGGCGGCGTCGCCCCCTGCTGCGCCGCAGGTGGACTGCGTGGACGAGGTCGTGCGGGCTTGCCCCTGAGCCTGGCTTCCCTTTTTGTCTTCCTTTCCTCTCTTCCTCTTTCGTTGTGGACGACGATCAACGGAGAGGAAGCAGGTTGCCACATATTTTCCAGATGTATAAAACATGTTGAACACATGTCTCAACATTTTCCCAGTGCGACCCTACCTAGAAGTTGGAACCCCTAGGAAAGCAGCATTAGTAGTAACAGTAACGCTAAGCTAAAGCTAAGCTAAATCTAAGCTGAAGCTAAGCTAAAACTAAGCCACAGCTAAGCTAAAGCTGAGCTAAAGCTAAGCTAAAGCTAAGCTAAAGCTGAGCTAAAGCTGAGCTAAAGCTAAGCTACAGCTAAGCTAAAGCAAAGCTAAAGCTAAGCTAAAGCTAAGCTACAGCTAAGCTACAGCTAAGCTACAGCTAAGCTAAAGCTAAGCTAAAGCTAAGCTAAACGCTAAGCGAACAGCTAAGCTAGACGCTAAGCGAAAAGCTAAGCTAAAGCTAAGCTACAGCTATGCTAAAGCTAAGCTAAAGCTAAGCTAAAGCTAAGCTAACGCTAAAGCTAAAGCTGAAGCTAAAGCTCCCAGGGGACTGGGGGGAACCACTCCCAGGGGACTGGGGGAACCGCCCGGGGCGCTTTGCAATGCCCGGCCCCTTTAAGCTAAGAGAGTAAGAACCCTTCTAGGCAGAGCCTAGGTAGGGAACATGTTTAAAACATGATCAAACATTTTCAACACATGGTTAATTCAATGATCGGATTGTTAGGGTGCTCATTGTCATGGCCTCCACAACTCTTTCGAAAGTGGACCAACGGCACAAACATAAACTTGCGACGGTCAGGGCGGATTTCTTGGATTTGCGATGTGCCCCTCTCCCTGTCGCGCGGAGCGCGCCAGGGGCGGCGCTGGTGGCGCGGCCCATGCGGCCCAGCGCAGATCCAAGAACTCCGCGCGGACCGTCAACAGTTCATGTTGATGCAGTTTGTTGTTTCTTCACTCTTTGTGGCTGGTGTTATTGTTGCTCTAGGCTTGGGCCCAGGTTGTAAGCAGCCGATATGCGTGGCAGTCAGTGTTTGGCGACCATTCTGCCCATTCATTCCTCCTCGTACTGCCTCTCGTCCTCCTCCTCGTCCTCCTCCTCTTTCGCTCGAAACTGTGCAAGACAGTCTGCAGGCCTACTTGCTGCTGCCTGCTTCTCTACGCGTTCGACATGTCTCTCTCTACGTCCTGCTGGGTGAGATCATCCCCCCTCTGCGCTGCTGTTCGTAAAAAGTACGTTGAACTAATACCTGGCGGAAGCTGGCGGGGGTAAAGGCAGACTCCCCAAGCGATGTCAACGCCACGTACCCAGGATGTCCAGGATCGTCCACTGGGATGACCAGGAGGTTGGACATCCCGCATGCGGCTGCCGAGTGCTTTTTCAACACACGTGCCGAGGAGTCTGGGTACTCCTCTTCCCGCCTCGGATGAAAACGCATCGGCTGAGCCAAAGCTGGGCTGCCAGCAGCTGCCAGCAGCTGGTAGCTGGTGTGGCGTGGTTGCGCTGCTCAGCTGTTTCGTTGTGCATTTCCGCCCTAGCAAACTCCGCTCGCGTATAATCTGGTATCCACGTTCTCTTTGTCATCGTCTTCGTCCTCATCGTCCTCACTCCCAAGTGACGGTGTTGTAAGTCGACTCTTGGGCATCCCAGAGCAGTGCCTAATTGCCCACCTCCTCCGCGGGGGCCACCATGCGTGCACCTCCCCCCGCCCCCCCTGAGATCTGACGTTGTAGCCAACAATGCCACATTGCGAAGAATCACGACCAGAGCCCCGGACCCCGCTTTCCTGTGTTAGTCTTCGAGCGGGATCGATCTGTGAGGATCCTGGGGCCCGAAACCAAGCGAGACAGCCCGTTGTGATACATTGGCAACGCCAGGATACCCTGGAAACGACAGGGCCATTTTTTTTACCAGGTTCCGATTTGCAGTTTTTGTTGCCGGTTCCGACACCGTTATTTTGCTGGTTCTGTCGCTGTTGTTGGTTGGTTCCAGCTCTGGTTCCAATCCTGGGGCTGTTTTTGTTGTCGTTTCTGGTCGCCGTTTTTCAATGGCCGTTCCCATTTACAAGATAGATTTGCTTTTCGGAAACGGTACAAAAAAAAACAGCCCTGCCGTGCCCTGGGCCCACTCGATCTCAGTAGGGGAACAACAAGTGGCATAAACATAAACACTCGGAGGTCCGCGCGGACTTCTCGGATCGGCGCTGGGGCCCCGCGGCGGCGCCTCCGGCGCCGCCCCTGGCGCGCTCCGCGCGCCAGGGAGGGGGGGTTCAGCACCGATCCGAGAAATCCGCGCGGACCTCCGAGCTTTTCTGTGTTCATGACACTTTTTGTTCCCACCCACCCTCCCCCTCAGAAATCGTGGGGGGTAGGGATAGGGTTCGCATGTGGCCCCCTATTCACCACCCACCAAACCACCCCAACCCAACCCGAAGGCCCAAATTTATCCTCGATTTCCAGTGAGGGGGGGTCGGGGAACGTTGAAAAAACACATGGTATCCGTACCCCCCCCAACCCGAAATTCGGGTCAAATTCGGGTCTTCGGGTTGGGTTGGGGTGGTCTGGTAGGTAGTCACCTATCCTCCTATCCTGGGCCCACTCGATCTCGGGGCCCTCTCCGTCCCCTCCCCCCCGCCGCCGCCCTGCCCGGCGGGGCGGGCTCCGAGCGGGGACGGTCCCACCTTTGGGGCTCTGCGCTGTAGGATCACCACAGAGGCTGCCGCCCCTCCACCGACCCCCGGGGCAGGAGGAGGAGGGGGAGGAGGAGGAGGAGGAGGAGGAGGAGGAGGAGGAGGAGGAGGAGGAGGAGGTCCTCCTCAGCCTCCCTTCTGCCCCGTCCCACATGTGGCAGTGGTGGTGGTGGACAAGTTGCCCCTCAGGGGCCCCCGGCCTCGGTGTGGCATCGGCTTTTTCAGAAAGGCCCGGGTGGCTCCCCCCCAAGTAGAACAGTGGCGAGGCGTCCTGACTTGGCAGTAGGTTCATGTCGGGCGTGTCCCCCTACAGGGGGATTTTCGACGAAAACCAAAAAATACCCCCAAAATGCACCAAAAGGTCAAACGATACTCAAAAAATGGTCCGCAGACTATTTTTGGATTATTGTTTTAGCATTTTTGGTGTATTTTTATACTTTTCGTCGAACATCCCCCTGTAGGGGGACAGGCCCGACTTAACAGTAGGTTTACCAAATCATGTTTCATGATTTTGTTTGTGGTTTGCACGAGATGTTCTTATCATATTTCTGGCTGAGACTGTCCTCTTTGAACACCTACTTTTTTTGTTGGAGCATCTTTGGATTCGAAGAGCATGTCGTGGCAGGCCCATTAGGAAAGCCAGGACGGTTTGTCGCTGCTCAACCAAGAGCGCTCCCTCACGAGGCCCATGTGGTCCCAGGGTCTCCCGAAGGGGAGGCGAAACAATGCGGTGACACCTTCCACGATGCCCGCCGTCGTGATTCTTCCATGCCGTGGATACCCAGAGGTCTGGACGGGCTTTCCATCCTGAGTTGCTTTTTGACGGTCCCGACGCCCAGTAAGGTCAGGGGTTGATAAAGGTGCCCTTGGCGCAAAGATCCCCCACCTTTTCGCTTAATTTTGGAGACCCCGGAACCCTCTGGGTCTCGTGAGGGGTGCGCTGGAGGCTGTGGGGGCCTCCCTGGAAATCCTTGGGGCACCTTGGGCCAGGGGCACCTCTAGCAACACCCGAGATGGCCCCCAGAGGCCGAACCTGCTGAGGAATCCTCCCGTCGTAATTGCTTCACCACGCGAGGGGGGCTGGGCTTCAGGGCCAGGATGCCGTGGGCCACCTCCATGGCAGCCTCCGAGACGGACGCGCGGGCGGGCGGATTTGTTTAGGCTTCGGCGCCGCAGCTGCGGGACCGCGCTCTCGCCCACCGTGCCGCCGTCGGGGGGGGCTCGTCACCGTGTCGGATGGCAGGCGCTCGGAGGCGAGGGGGGGGGCCCAGGGATCGGGCGCGCAGGACTGTGCAGACCTCCTTCGGGGAGGGCCGATTCCTCTGAACATATATGGTAAAGAATATGGGACCTGGGGGGAAGACGACAGTCCGGAGCATGTGAGAACATAGGCTTGGCATCGCTCGGACGTGTGCATTTTTCCTTCGGCGAGGACCATCGAGGAGCATCCTTGATCATTTGGCGAAAACCACGCACGAAACCTAAAAAAACACAGGGAATGGACGTCCGAGCGATGGCCATTAGGGGGAACCTGGATTCGTGTCTGTGCATGTGTGTGTGTCCCCGCCGGTCCCCTTTAGACGTGCCCGCGTTGTGAGACAGAGGCGCTGCAGGCGTTTTTTGTTTTGCCGTGCTCGTCTTCTGCGCCGAACTGGGGCCTTCAAGAAGTCTTCGGGATGAAGCGTGGGCCTTGGGGCAAGGGTCGGGACTTCCAGGGACCCCCCTGAAGGTATCAACAAGACATCGCATGTCTTTGAATGTCATCGTTTTCTTATTCGTTGTTTTGCCGATCGGCTCGGGCCCTCGGACCCCCCCTTCCCCCCGCGGAGTAGATCTTGGCTGTTTTGGGCGCCTGTTTCAGGCAGGCGGAGTCTCCTCCACAGGACGCACTGCTTCAACCAGTCGCATTAAGCAGAGGTCCTCCCCACCCCCTTCCGCCCAACGTCGAAGCGCCGCACAAGAAAACGCTCACCAGGAGGTTTTTGTTGCCGTGTTCGTCCTCCGGTGCCGAGCTGCAGGAGCCTCACTAAGCTCTCGGGACGAAAAGCGAGCCTTGGGGAGAGGGTCGAGACTTCCAGGTGGGACCACCCTAATATGGAGGGTATCGACAATCGAGGGCGTCAAACACGTCCCTACCCTGGTTTGCGAGGCGCCGTGCGCTGCACCTCCTGTGGGCTGACAGGGTAGACCCTGCACATCGCGCGTGCCGCGCTGCGTCCTGGCGGCTCTCTGGCCTTTGGGAGCTCCTAGGAGGTTTTGCCGGATAGCTCATGGAGAGTTACGAATGTTTCAGATTAAGAGGCCGGAGCCGCAGGGTAGCCCCGGGGGTCGCTCCAGCGTCGGTCCGCACACACCTCGGCGGGGCTTGCTCGAGCCTGCAGCGTGTTCTGGCAGGCCTTTTCTAAGCATTTCCCCATACGCGTGTCCAGAAGCTCTGCAGAAGGTCCTTCGGAAGCTCTCTCTAGGTCCTTACAGAGTTCTTCGCCGGGCATTTCCACTCGGGTTGACCCAAAAGGGGTCCAGCGACAAGGGCGTGGTGCAATAGATTTGGTGCAATAGATTTGTGGGGTTGCAATAAATTTGGGGCGTGCAGTACATTCCGGGGCGCGAATGTATTGCTGGCTTTTCGTGTGCAATGCATTACTTGCAATACAATGCAATGCATTTCTCCTGCGAAACACATTTGCAATACAATTGCCCCAAATCTACTGCACCACCCCCTTCAGCTGGACCCCCTTTTGGGTCACCCAGATCCTCGCCCTTCGGGTGACCTGCTATCCGGGCTTTGGACCCCACAAGTACAGACCACGCACTTATAACCCATGGCAGGGGCGCCTGTGCATCCCCCAAGACAAGACATCGCATGTCCGGGCACGCACGGGCCCACCCTGCGGGCCCAAGGGGAGTGCACAGGCGCCCTCCAGGGCTCAGGGCACATGTGCCGGGCCCCACGACGGCGCCCGCACCGATCTCCCCTGGATCCCAGGATTGTCCCGACCAGGATCGGTGCACGTGCTCACAGACATGATCGCGTCCTAACAAAAATCAGGGCGGCAAGTGTTTCACTAGTTTCAGCCCTTGGGGGCCCTCGCCAGGCCCCGGGACCGTCACACAACGACTAAGGAGGAAAAACCGGTCCCGGGGAAAGGGTCGGGATTTCCTCCGATGGACGGGGGGGGGCAGCACGGCAGCGGCACGGCGGTCCCCGCCGCAGCTCACCGGAGGCGCCTCTGGACGCCCGCGGGAGGAGGAGGGCAGGCGGAGTTGAGGTAGGAGGAGGAGGAGGAGGAGGAGGAGGAGGAGGAGGAGGAGGAGGAGGAGGAGGAGGAGGAGGAGGGG